TTAGGCATATAGTGCCCGATCTATAATGTTATAGTTCAATCAGTAGGGGTTGGACGTGGTCAACATAATGCTATCTGGCATTCTTATTCTTTCTATGCCGTGTGGCATTAGTAGTCATGTCTATCCACAGCCTCCTGTCTCGTGTACTTTCAATCAACCCAGATACAGATATTCTCCATGCCTTGATGTCAAACTGTCAAGCATATTTTTTCTCAGCCTCTTTCTGCCTCCCCTCCCCTCCAACTTTCCTACTGTCACAATGTACTGCAGTTTTCTAATTCTCATCACACGACCAAAGATTGTAGATTGTCCCTTTCTGATGTAAGCAATGTTCTCTTCATGAGTCAGTTTCTTTCAAGACATTTTCCTTACTTCCAAGATATTTCCTGGTACCCATTTTAGACTGTCAATTTGGGATTCAGGGCCATCTATAAAAAGTATATGCACCAAGACCTTCAGAAGGCAAGAAAGCAGCAGTTCTTCACACATCCTAGACCAAGGCTATTCAACTAAGTTTACTCAGGGGCAAATATTTTCAAACTGGGGATTGCCATGGGCCAGTGACTTGAGCCCCAATATAGAAAAACAATGTATACAACCAGCAATGATTCGCAGGCCACTTGCTGGATATCTGCAGGCCAAATCAGGCCTCCGGGCTGCCAGTTAAATAGCCCGATCCTAGACCATCATGTACTGTGGCAGGCTTGTCAGTTACTTTTATAGCCATGTTTAAGTGATCATGTCACTAAGGGCACACTCTGTAGTAAATTACTGATGAGTAGGATATGTTGAGGTCAGCCTCTGCAACGTTCTAAAGATTTGTGCAAGTGGGACATAAAAGATACAGGTATTGAGATATCCATAGGAACAAAATCCCACGGGGGGGGGGGGAGAGAAAAAAAGTCAGAAAGAGAAAAGGAATAAAGGAGAAAATGACTAGATTGGTTAGGAGTTGAGTGTCTGAGAAGAAGCAAGTGATATATATGTAATGGTGACCATGCAAACTGTTAAAGACATTTTCTTAATGTGAGCAGGTCTTGCTAGTCAACTGCCATTTACTGCCTTTACTATACCACTTTTGCAGGGTGTGGGCAGGGGAGTCTTTGAGCTTGAGGATTTATGGCCACATGACTAGAGCTGTGGCCATGACAGTGCAGGTAGGGATTTTATTTTGTTTCCAGCAGAAAAAAATCTGCAGCCTTACCAAGGATTCGCACCCGGGTCTCTCTTGCTAGTCACAGCCACCCCTCTTGCTAGTCACAGCCACCCCTCTTGCTAGTCACAGCCACCCCTGTCATGGGCTGTGAATGCCCATGCATTCCTACAGTACAGAATATCACTCATCTGGAAAGATGGGAAGGGGCCGAGAATAACAGTCATACCTAGGAAACATTAACATCATCATCATCTAGAGCTCAAATCTATATCTGACATACCTGGGTGGCTTGGGAGATGAGTTAGGGGAAGGCAGCGGAGAGACTGTCCGTGGTGGCACGGGAGGTGGCACATCAAAACACTGAAATCCTGGCCGCTTGGACAGAGACGGAGAGTTGTATGATACACATCCATCTTGGCACTGCAAAAACAAAATAAAAATAAACATCTGAGATATTTATTTTTTTATTTTACTGTGTTAATGTCTGGCTTGGAACCTTACATGTCCCTCAAGACCTGAAGCAGTAAATGTTGAATGCTGAATCAAGAATCAATGTAACAGCACTCGGAACACTCCAATATCCCCCCCCCCCCCCCCCCCCATTTTTAGCAGCAAGAACCAGCTCAGATGGCACCAGTAGCTGTATGATTTTATATGAAGCAGTAAAAGAGGAGGTCAACAAGAAGAATGATTGGAAGCTGCAGTGGTGCAGAAGTTAGTGTACTTGCTTGATGACCCAGTGGTTGTGTGCTTTAAGTTTCATCACTCTCTTCTATGGCTGATTTTACAAAACAATAAAACGTTCTCCAAAGCCTCTCTTCTGATCACATAACCATACAAGGAAACATTGTCAATTTCTTTTAGTAGGTGGTCTCCATGGTGAAGTGGTCAAGCCATGTACCTTGCTCCCTGAAGGTCTTGGGTTCGTTTCGCTGAAGAGTTGGTCAGTGGTTTTTGTGTAGATCCCTGGAGACCATGACTAGAACTATGGATGCTCTAGACAGGCAGCTAACTGTTCTGGGAAGAGACCTGAGCTATACACTATAACTGGATGCAAGAAATCGAACCTCTTGGCTTTAACTTTTTACAGTTTTACGCTACCTTTGAATATTCTACTTTCATTAACCCTTACCAAGCAACCATTGTTAGTAACTCCGGCCACCCATGGTGCATACAAATTTGTCTCAGAAATTACAATGCAAGCCAAAACACTCCTTCTTAGGTGTACATTTATACTACAAAAGTCATTGCCAAATAACAGAACAGACTTAGTGTAACATTTTAGTTCTCTCTGTCGGACATTCAATAAAACTGACCTGACACTAGATCTGCTCCTCCCCCCCCCCCCCCCCCCTTTCTGCAGCTTGACTCACTTGTATCTTGCAGTGTCCAGTTGAAGTATTCATAAACTGAAAGAGAGCTCCTATTTGTGTGCTACACATATGGGGATTTTCAGGCTTCTTCTTTTTCTTCCCCGGCTGTAACTTGAGTTTTGCATGCACATTCATTTTACAGATCTGGTTTATTTATATGCAGAACTGTTGGTCCCTTGCCTCTTAGATGTTTACGACTACAAGGGAAACACCCCCTAATTAGTCAGCTTTTATGTCATGCTTGTTAGGGGGGCAGTGGGTCTATTCTCACCCCTAACCCCCTACCCGCCCAATGGGGCCCTAGAGACCCCCCCCCCCCCCCACAGTGAAATATTCCTAGTGATTGTTATTACCTCTGTCCATCATCATTTACAGTCCTTTCTTTCAATTACCATTGTGTCGTTGCTCATTGCGGTAAAATTATAAGATACTTTTAATCTACTGAAATGCAGCTTTTGCTTGACTTATCTCCTTTTGTCAATATCTATTTTGTGCCGCTAGGCATCACAGTTTAACAGATGTCAGATGGTCAAGCTGGGGCATGCTTAACTGCTTTACTGCTATTATGTTGTGAAGTTTCAAGCTATCAGTGACCCCTTTAGTCAATGTTCTTTCAGGTCTCCCTCTGCTACTTAGCCTTTCCATTTTCATCAAGTAAGTTCTCACTGCCGGCACCACTGGATTGAAAACCGGTGTATCCTGCTCGCTCTTAATCTCTGTGACACTGCTTCCCTTTGATGTTAGGACTGCTCATCTTTGAAACGAATACATAAATGTGACTTACCTTAGATCCTGCTAATGCATGCAATGCTGACATCCCTCCACTGTCCTGAAGGTCAGAAAACAAAAAATATACGATTTCATTGATCAAAGATACATATCATTTCAATGATTATAAAAAGATAACAATTATCCTAACTCACAGGTTGTGCTCCTGGGAAGTAAAGGCGATCGGCGTGATGCTGACCACATCACCCAACAAGTGTTGTTTGGCCTTTAAAATATAGGTCTAGCCCAATATACCCAATACGCCTAAAGGCATGTGATCAGGCTGTGCAGATAACAATAATTATATAGCTTTTTCACTGCCCAAACGTAATAATAAATATACTGCAGTGATAGCCAAATGTTTAAGACCATCTAGTAAATAAGTGATTTCTTCATACTGTTATGGAGTTTTGGATCATTGATATTTTACGTTCCACTAAATACAATCACTGCAGTCATAACTCTCCATCAAAACAGCACTGTGCAATTCACCATATAACTGTTGAAATATCAAGTACTGACTAGGCGGTTTTAAACATTTGGTCACCACTATATTATCCCACAATATAGACAATAAGAAGTGGGTTAAAGTGTTCGAGCAAGTTTCAGACTTGTGTAGGGTTTTTATCACTCTAAGTCGTGAGTGCAGGGACTGGCCAGCTGGTGCTGCAGAATCGGAAGTTTAACAAATGATTCATGACAATTCCCGCCCAGGTGATGTGATTGTCTATACAGATGGCTCTGTGTTAAGAGGCAGACGAAGTGCATGGGGTTCAAAGCAAAAGGAGGTCGCTTGGTGCAGCAAAGCCTGGCATTTGATATCACAATGTCTAGTTTGAGAATGGAGGTGGAGGCAGTTACTGCTGCCTTCTGCTGGCTTCAGAATCAGCTGTACACACATGTCGTGATTGTAACTGACTTGCAGAGCATATTGAGAAAGGTGTAGACTTGCATGCTCTGTGCAAAGTGGCAAGCATCACTTCAGAATTCCTGGGTAGTTGGCATCCTTTGGAAATTTTCTCCAGGTGTTGCCGGTGTGTTGGGAAATAAGCAGGCAGATAGACTGGCCAGTTCTGCACCGTTTGGTGTTGAACTGAAGTATGGAAAACTGGATGTTGTGAGTGCTCTTTAGGAGCGATTGAACAGTGCGGAGGCACAAATAGATCAATACAGTCTGGGGAGAATGGGAGGAGTTACAAGGGAATCTGGCCGGTGCTCAACGCTCAGTGGAAAGGTGAGATGGATATACAGTCAGACAGTTACAGGTGCCATCAGAACTGGAATTCTTTGCTTGCTGCTGAAGATGAGGATGAAGCACTTATGGCAGTATTCAGAGTGCTGTGATGTCAATTCTTAATTCAACATAGACAATAAGAAAGAAGATGTAAGTAAGGACATATTACCATTTAAAGGTAAATAAAGTACCATTGTATGCCAGCAACAACAGGGCTTATAATGCTAGACTCAAAGTTTATAAACAGCAATCGCCACTCGTAAATGATCTCATCAACATTACACTTTTCTTTTCCAAATTGGCAGTCACCACAACACAGACAGTAAGACATTAGAAAGAAAGCTGCAGACATAAACAATGAGCAATGGAGTATAACATCTATAAGAAATTAGTGAGTGAGGCTGCAGTCACAGTTGATGATCAATAGACAAAGTAAAGGGAAAAAAAGCAGAACAGAAAGCATACACACCTCCTCCTCATCAATATCCTGCGTGGGTGATTTGGCAGCAGAAGCTTTGGTCACCTTGCTTTCATCAAATGGGTCCACGATGACCTGTTCTGTCCCTTTGATTTCACATCGGCACCAAGGACACCCCTGGCCGTCTGAATCCTGACCAGAATCATAAAATATAAACACCATTTGTTAAGTAGGAATGTAAGCCTCATACATCTTGTTCAAATATTATCTTCGCAGGACAGTCTATACAAAGGACTGCAGTCATTAAGGAAGAAAATAGGAGCCTTTGAGCTGAAATTCTATAGAAAGATTCTCAGAATATAAGAAGCCAAAAAGAAAAGAAATATGGACATCAAAAAAGATCTGAATATCGAGGAAGATTGGCTAGTTAACAGGATCTTGTCTCTAAAACTGATATTTTTTTGGTCTTATTAAGTGCTGTGGTGGGCTGGAAAAAATAGTAGCAGAAAATATGGTGCCAAGAAAGAGGGGCAGGAGCTGACCAGTAAGAAGATGGGCACAGAACAAAAGTGACACCTTTGGGTAGGAAAGTGTACAAGAGTCAGGAGATCTGGCGTGAGAGTGAGTTTCATTCAGGCAGGCTGTAGTGACAGCGACAATCCTCGATAAAGGACATACTACATGATGATGATGATGAGTCTATTATGGTGCAGGAGACACAGGGTAACAAAGAACGACAAGCTGCCTTGCTAGTCATAAATGTGTGATCTTTAATTGTGTAAAACAAGGTATCTGCAGCAAGGGCTCAAAATGCTGAAGAAAGAAGAATACTACATGTTTTCCAGTCGTTTAAATTTTCACAGCTTTAAGCAATTAAACCCATTCCATTTACAGATGAAATTAACTGCCTAAACATCAACATCCCTTGTGCCATTCATCATCACCATTAATTTTCACTTCTGAAATTAAGTGTTGTAGGCAGGAAATGCTTCCCATTTCAGTGCATGTTTATTGACTCTCTGTCCGCTTCTCCTCATGATGTGCTTTAAGCCCATGATGTCTCTATTATCCTGAATCTATCTACGTGCTGGCGGACCTCTCTGTGCCTTCTTCCAGGAAGCCTGCCTCCCAGTTCTGTTCTATCTAAATCATTGTGGAGATTCAGATGCCAAAGTATTTCAGTTTCACAGAATGTATCAATGTACTCAAGATAATAATCAAAGAAAGGCCAATGACAAAAGATTCAGGGCATCAACAATGTAAATGGACAGATAAGGTATGGGTACAGACTAGAACAGTGGTTCTCTATCAGATAATACCATCTTATTTTCATCGATCTGCCTACTTTTGAAGCCAAATTTTTTATATTGGGGAAGGGGGGGGGTGTGGTGTGGGATTGGGGGGGGGGGGGGGGGGGGAATGGGGGGCTGCCTGTATGACACCTAGATAATAAAACAAAAAAGTTAAATCTATATAACAATTTAAAAAAAATTTATTTAAAGGCCCCTTTAAATTTGTTCTATAGACCCCTGGATTCTGCAAATAGCCATCTGTAAACCATTGGACTGGCATAATGTACATAAAGTACGAGGACAGACACCTCTGGTGATCTTTTGCCACCAGCTTAACTACATATGTGCTTCTGGATGATGATAAAGTAACCAAGGATACACATTTACTAAGGTATTTTCCCTTGACCCTGTCAGCCCTGACAAGAGTTGGAGGAGAACACTTACCTGCCACTGTATGAGGCACGGAGTACACAGCAAATGTCCGCAGGGCTCCAGCCTGATGTCCTTATCATTCTCTGCACATATTTTACACTGCTGAAATGTAGAGCCCATCTCGCAGTACAGCTCATACTGCTCCTGGATAATCATATGATTTACACTTATTTTAGATGTATGAATGAATACAAGTGATTAAAGAACACTTTATTAAAGACAAGTCACTACAGACAAGTGACCAAAGACAAGTGATTAAAGATATGTCACTACAAACAAGTTACTACAGACGAGTGAATAAAGACATGTCACTACAGACAAGTCACTACAGACAAGTCACTACAGACAAGTGATTAAAGACATGTCACTTCAGACATGTCACTTCAGACAAGTCACTACACACTACACACATGTCACTACAGACAAGTGATTAAAGATGTCACTACAGACAAGTGATCAAAGACAAGTCCTAGAGATACATGATTAAAGACATGTCACTACAGACAAGTGATTAAAGACAAATGTTTAAAGACAAAAGATTAGAGACAAGTGATTAAAGACAGGTGATTAAAGACAAGTGATTAAAGACAGATCACTACAGACACATGATTAAAGGCAAGTCACTACAAACAAGTGATTATATATGTGTTTTCTCTACTACAACAGTGCAACAATGTAATATGACAGACAGACAGAAAGATAAGGCATACAAATGTATGTAGACAGACAATGTAAAAGCTATCTTAACAATGAGGCAAGAGCAAAAAAATGCATGTAAGGAAAATTCAAAGTTCAAGAAGACAGGAACTGGGAGATCACAGTAAACAGCCCTGTAGGTCTGTAAAGTTAAAGAAGAGAACCAAGAAGACAATGATGCAGTCGCAGAAAAAAAAGGGAGGAAGAGTAAGCGAGGGAGGCAAATAGATAGAGGGATAATGGGGAGAATGAGGAAGGAGATTTGGACAGAAGTTGGAGGAAGAGGCATAAGCAGTAGATGAATGAGAAGGAGGAGAATTTCAGATATAAAAAGATGCACAAACAGACAGAGGAAGGGGATGAAGCACGCACACAGAAAAAAACAGAGAGAAAAGAGAATAAATAAAATACTCTGCCACGTGTATGGTTCCTTACTTGTGTAACTCGTATATGATCCTCCTCACAGTCAGCGACAAGGTAACCCAAATCTGGGTTGATGTTTCTTCCATCTGGGTAAAGGAAGCTGTGGATGAAATCACATGCTGACCTCTTTGCTTCACTGGACACACACACACACAAATGAAACAACAAATGTCTACAACAGTGTAGCCTAGAGTTTCTTGTTGATTAGTTAGATAAGGCCTAGTGCGTGACCTTTATATACAGGGTGTCCTATAAATAATCTTCCATATATATGTAAAATAAACATATCACCAATGATTCCAGCTGTGCTGGAATGTGTTTCCCAGCAGAAAAGAACATACAACACATCGGTGACAGGGTCAACCACTGGCTCATAACACCAATTACTCCAGCTGTGCTTATATGTGTTGCCCAGCAGAGAACACACAACACATCGGCGACCAGGTCAACCACTGGCTCATAACACCAATGACTCCAGCTGTGCTTAGATGTGTTGCCCAGCAGAGAACACACCACACATTGGTGACCAGGTCAACCACTGGCTCATAACACCAATTACTCCAGCTTTGCTTATATGTGTTGCCCAGCAGAGAACACACAACACATCGGCGACCGGGTCAACCACTGGCTCATAACACCAATTACTCCAGCTGTGCTTATATGTGTTGCCCAGCAGAGAACACACAACACATCGGCGACCGGGTCAACCACTGGCTTATAACACCAATTACTCCAGCTGTGCTTATATGTGTTGCCCAGCAGAGAACATACAACACATCGGCGACCAGGTCAACCACTGGCTCTAAACACCAATGACTCCAGCTGTGCTTATATGTGTTGCCCAGCAGAGAACACACTACACATTGGTGACCAGGTCAACCACTGGCTCATAACACCAATTACTCCAGCTGTGCTTATATGTGTTGCCCAGCAGAGAACATACAACACATCGGCGACCAGGTCAACCACTGGCTCATAACACCAATTACTCCAGCTGTGCTTATATGTGTTGCCCAGCAGAGAACACACCACACATCGGCGACCAGGTCAACCACTGGCTCATAACACCAATTACTCCAGCTGTGCTTATATGTGTTGCCCAGCAGAGAACACACAACACATCGGCGACCGGGTCAACCACTGGCTTATAACACCAATTACTCCAGCTGTGCTTATATGTGTTGCCCAGCAGTAAAGGAAACATCGGTGACCCACTGGCTCACCGGTAGACGATTTCGTCGCTAGCCGAAATAGTATTTGTGTCTGTCTCCTCTGATCGCATCAACATTGCAGGAGTCCTTTTCAGGGCACTTTGTGGCGTGAAATGCTAAGCCATTTTATATGGCGCAAATAACCTAGTCACAATTTTAAACTAAAGCTTCCCCTCTGTGGATGCTGGCTGAGCATGACAAATTCTCTCCGATTTTTTTTCCCCAGCAAAGCGCCTACCTACCTAAAAAGGACACACATTGAAAAAGGTTTTCAAAACAATGGTTGTTATTACAGGCACATCAATTAAAAATAAAAATGGTTTTCATTTAAAAATGTGCGTTTTTCCTATGTATGGAAACTTACGAGGCACCCCGGTAGGCCACAATAGACCAGGCGAATCAGCCAGTTCCCTTGCTCATCTCCTTTCCTTTGCAGACATCTTCCACCAACATCCGAAGATTGTCTGGTACAAAATTTTACAAACTAGCATGGTTGCTTGATGCTTCCCAGCCGACCTAAAGTCCTTGCATTCAAAACTGCATCATAGCTATTTTTTCTTAAAAACTACCTTGACTCCAAGGATTACATAGACTAAATGGGTACCAGGTAATATTCTGGGAAGTAAAGGCGGCTAGAATGAGGTGGACTACAGTACCCTTCCAGTGTCAAGCATCAAATGCCTGATGCGTCACTGGCGCAAAAAAGGGATCTTTTTTCTTTATTTACCAATCTTTACGTGGCCGGGTTGGCCCCAGAATCCCAATGTCCAGAAAAAATATCCTGCTACTGTCGTAGATTGTATTAAGATTAGTAACTGGTCCCTCACCTTATATATCTTGACTTAGAATCCACAAAGGTCTAACAAGTTACATCCAAACAGAGGTATCAGCTGACTCATGACCCGTTTTATGGTTCAGGGTTGAGACACACAAATGATAATCAAAAGACAGCAGACGCTGTAAAAGCATGTGATACATTATATGCAAATGAGCTGAGACAAGGAGGACCTTGGGTCACATGGGAAGGAAACACAGAGGAAGATGGACATGACTTCTTTTGGTCATGATAGACATAGTCAGATCATGATTTTTTTTTTTATAGTGAGGTTGAATGTTGAATTGAGAATCGACATCACAGCACTTGGGACACACCCAAAAGATCTCTGTCTCCATTTTCAACAGGAAGCGAAGAGTTAAAATTATGATGGTACCAGTAACTGCCTGACTGTATATCCGTCTCGCCTTTCCCCTGAGTGTCGAGCGTCGGACGAATCCCCTTGTAACTCCTTGCAGTTCCATTCTCCTGAGACCATAATCATCTATCTATCTACTCACTATCACCTGATAGTGAGAAGGTGATGGTAACATAATAAAGTGAATAGTGAAAAAGCCCTCTTTTGCTGGTATCTGAGACTTCATGATGTCAGCTGTGAAGATATCTAAGAGACAGTCTGTTGTTCATTTTTATCTTGACTGTAAACTGCTGTTAATGTGTCTCAACAATTACCTACAACATGTCTCTCATCAAATTTAGCAATCATCAAGTTCAGAGAGTCAGGGGAGAGAGTATGAGCAACTACAATGTAGTAACTGTGTGTTTGGGCCAGTCAAATCAGCTTTTTACACATGTGCTCCACGCCTGCCGCACCTTGACAATCTGCTATGAGGAGCACAAGGAGATGATGGACTGATGACATTTACAACATTATGCACCCACAAAGAAGAACAATGGCCACCCATCAAGTTCTGGACTGCAAACTAGTCCCCACCACCACAAGTGGATTTTGATGATTTTACTACCATCATAAACAAAGCAAGAAGGACAAAAGAAAAGGAAATGAAGGAATGTAAAATGACATGGGATATCCTAGGCAGAAAAGCAGCAAAGTGACAGCAACATGGTATACACACAAACAAAACAACATTCCCTACAACTTACAATCCCTCTCTCTGTCCGTCGAGTAATGCCTGGCATAATGACTTGTTTTGTGGGATGGTCTGAAGTATCTGGCCATCTGTGGTGACGTAGCCGATAGCCCACTGACCAAGTCTGGTACAGCTCAACCGGAAGACATAGCTACAAGATGGGGGGAAAAAAAACGAAATCAAGTGAAGATGAACCTGCATCAAATACTGTTTATAGATGATTTTGTTATGTGGGTTTAAGAGCCCCAAATTTTTGTTGTTGGGGGGGGGGGGGGGGGGGCTTACCCCGCCCCCCTCCCCAAACAAGCAAGTCATAACAGCTGACTAATCAGGGGTGTTTCTTTGAAAGTCTCAGTGCATCTGCCAGAGAGGCAAAGAACCATAAGTCTGCATACAAATAAGTCACAGCTACAAAACAGGTGGGCACGCAAAACTCAAGTTATGGGACAAGACTAAAGTCTAAAAGTGGATGAACAATCAGAACTGACTGAACCTGTCAACACTAAGAAGAAGATGATGATTTATGTTTCTGGAAAAAGGGTTGAGGCACACACAAATATCCTTTCATCACCTTCTCCACTTTTCTTCGCCATGTGTCTGTTTTCTTTATTTCAACTGTTTTAATTCCTTTGGCCCCCTAGGTTCCAGTGCAAGAATATTCTAGTTACACTGTTATGTGGTTTCCTCAATGTGTGTCCTATCCGTCGCCTTCCCACAAAATACTCTGGTACTGTTATATGGATATGGACAGACGGATGTCAGTCGTAGACAATCTCCCAGTCTTTAAACAAGAAAATAGGGGCATTTGCACTAAGATGTTATTGAAAAATTCTCAGAATACCATGAACAAAGAAGAGAAATACTGACATTTTAAAAAAACCAACTTAATCAAGATTTGCTAATAAACAGCATCTTGTCTCAGAAGCTGAAATATTTTGGTCATATCAAGCAAAGATGGTTATAGGATATAAGTGACTCCTTGAATTTAAAAAGTACATGAGGCGGAAAAGCTGACGAGAGACTGAGTTTCTTTTAGGCAGACCGCAATGAGAGCGACGTTCTACAAAGAACCTGCTACATGATGATGATTGTTATATGGCACTTGACATGTGAGTTCAGGGTCTCGTTTTGAGGGGAAAAGAAGCTACGCATGTCGTAAAATTCGACTACTGCACTGGCATCACCTATTTGGCTTTGTGTTGGTTTTAAAACTACATAAATTAATAACGATTCTGAGCGGAGAAAGTTCCCGTGTGGGTTCTGGGGTCCTGTTAAAGGGAAAAAGATAACAGATCCACTGCCTACACAAAAGCATGTCGTAAGAGTCGACTAACTGGGAGCTTCCTTCAAAGTCGGAGTGCATCTGCCTGAGAGGCCAGAAACCGACAGTCTGCATACAAATTATTCAGATCTGTCGCATACGCAGCAATCAAGTTCTGGAACAGGGCTGCAGTCTAGAAGTGGGCGAACAACAAATTTTTGCCAGAGTTTACAGCTGGTGAACGCGAAGAAGAAGAAGAGTGGAGAAAGATCTGAGCCCATATCTAATAGACAGAAAGCTTATTTTCATTCTCCCTGCTAGTGGTTTCAGACGAGAAAGCCTCAGGACCCCTATGAAGTCTTTGATGCGATGCATGCCTTTCACTGATTCATAGAGCTTAGTTTTCATGGGAATACCAACTGGCCAAACCTGAGATCTCACTACTGCATGTAGACAGCATGTCTGTAGCACATGTTCAGTATCAGAGAATGACAGCTGAATGCTCTTCTGCGATGTTACCACACTACAACACACACATTCATCACGTACAAAGACTGACCTTCCTGGTTTGTTGATGTACTTCTGCAGGCGAGCCTTCACCTCATCATACGTGAGAAAAGCCACGTAACCAGGGTGAGCAACTGCCAATACGTTCCAGTTACGTAACAGGTTAACCCATGGCTGGAACAATCTAGAGCCAAAGAAATCATATTTATTTAAAACTGCTTCTGAGGTAAAAGTTTACGGCTTATATGCATCTGTACTGAGATGAACATGTACACGAAAAATTTATTTAGTCTTTCCTCTATCAGACCAGGATGCACAGATAGCTTACAGTCTTGTTTAGTCTTTCCTATTCTCTCCGGGGAAATAGAGAGAGCTCACAGTCTTGCCTATACTAATTTGGGATGTAGAAATAGCTTACAGTCTTGTTTAGTCTTTCCTATTCTACCCTGGGATGTATGGATAGCTTACAGTCTTGTCTGGTCTTTACTATTCTACCCTGGGATGTATGGATAGCTTACAGTCTTGTCTGGTCTTTACTATTCTACCCTGGGATGTATGGATAGCTTACAGTCTTGTCTAGTCTTTCCTATTCTAGCCTGAGATTTAGAGGCAGCTTAGTCATGTTTATAGTCTTTCTCCTCTTAATGCAAATCACCTATATCTGACTTTAAGAATACGACTCGGTGCGGTCCCAATCTCTTCCACTCTCTAAAAGCCAAAAGTGTGATCTTTGTCTAAACAGGGGCCTGTAGAAGCGAACCCTGGACACTGAAGATTTTACTGTGAAATAATTTTTCTAACCTCTAAGATATAGGTTGAGTTGAGTCAAGAATTGACATCACAGCACTCGGGGCATTCCCATGTGTGCTCCATTCTCATCTTCAGCAGACAGCACACAGTTCCAATACTAATAGTACTGCTCACAATCTAGTTATATGTCTGTCTTGCCTTTTCTCTGAGTGTAGTGAGCCAGCCAGACCCTCTGGTTACACCCAGGTGCCTCATCCTCTCCAGGCCATTTAATCTTGTTTCTCTACTGATTCTGTTGCTTGTTCACACAGGGTCTTGACCACATCTCCCTTGTCCTCTAAGATACAGAGCAGCACTAAATGAGAACCAATATAACAGCATTCGGGGCATTTCCATAAGCGCTCTGTCCCCATTTTCAGCAGCCACCGCAGAGTTTCAATACTAATAGTGCCAGTAGCATTCTAGTGATACATCCATCTTGCCTTTCCTTTGAGCGCCAAATATCAATCAGATCCCCTCATCACTACCCGCTGCAACACCTAGATCAGAGTGGTGCTATTGGGTACATGGTGCTAGACTTATATTTTATAGACCAACCTGCACTCAGTGGCTGATAGGGTCGACATCAAACTGTCTAGCTTTACTTGCAAGGACCATCACTTCTACTTATTTAAGGATGGGCCAGTTCGACCTGGGAGTCTAGGTTTGTTTTTTTAAAGACTGGATATATTTGCATTAAAACACACTACCTTCGGGTCCGCATTTCAGAGTCTGGCCATTACAAAACACTGGTTGCCTAAATAAAGGTAGCATTTCAAGTGTTCAATCATAATTTTTTTTTTATTACAATATTCAGTTAATAAGGCATCTGCTGCTATTCAGAGATTCTAAAATCTCATTTATGTGGCTGAAGCATTACACATGAAGAGAATGGAAAGAATAGCTTCCACTCTCATTGGTTTTTGTCACTGACATGACCTCTACTTCTGGTGCCACGCTATCACGTACAGTGCCTCATTAGCTCAGCAGCAATGTAATACCTGAACGATGTAGCTACTGCATGATTAGGTGCAAACTGTTGGCAGATCACCTGAAAATTGGCAAGAACCAGCACTGATCGGCAGACCACCGGTTGAAGAATATTGCTCTTCAGTATACAGATATTTATGTTTTATTGCACATGGGAAATCCCTGTGTGGGTTCCAGGACCCTATAAAGGAAAAGCAAGAACAGACCTACGCCTACCCAAAAGCATGTCATAAGAGTCGAATAACTGGGGGCTTCCTTCAAAGTCAGAGTGCATCTGCCTGAGAGGCAAAGAACCAGCAGTCTGCATACAAATGAGACAGGTCTGTAAAGCGGATGCACATGCAATATTCAGGTTCTGGAACAGGAATGCAGTCTAGAAGTGGACGAACAACCAGGACTTTCCACCAGAGTTTACAGCTAAACGCAAAGAAGAAGTACATGGGAAACATAACAGTCCCTTTACCACTACAAGGTAGAGACAAGAGAAGCAATAGAGACTTACAATGTAGAGACAAAAAAAGTGGTAGATGAGTCTCTGTACAAGAGAAGAGGCAGGACCTAGCTGGATCATTATAACTCTCTGTACAAGAGAAGAGGCAGGACCTAGCTGGATCATTTTAACTCTCTGTACAAGAGGAGAGGCAGGACCTAGCTGGATCATTATAACTCTCTGTACAAGAGAAGAGGCAGGACCTAGCTGGGTCATTATAACTCTCTGTACAAGAGAAGAGGCAGGACCTAGCTGGGTCATTATAACTCTCTGAACAAGAGGAGAGGCAGGACCTAGCTGGATCATTATAACTCTCTGTACAAGAGAAGAGGCAGGACCTAGCTGGATCATTATAACTCTCTGTACAAGAGGAGAGGCAGGACCTAGCTGGATCATTATAACTCTCTGTACAAGAGGAGAGGCAGGACCTAGCTGGATCATTATAACTCTCTGTACAAGAGGAGAGGCAGGACCTAGCTGGATCATTATAACTCTCTGTACAAGAAAAGAGGCAGGACCTAGCTGGATCTTTATAACTCACCTACAGAAAACATCAAATTCAAATACTGAAATATAATCATTGCAAGTGAGGTCGATGGTTGATTTCAGTGCCATAGCTTCCAGCGGGGAGCCAATAGGGTGTGTTTCATGCAGCCGGTTCTTGAATTCTTTCCATGGGATGATGATTCTGTAGATGAAAACATCAATAAATATTTTATTTTTATAATCATCACCATTATCCTCATCTGTACCTAGTCAGCTGGCACAGATGGTTAAGCTTCTAAACAGTTCTCATTCCTCTTCACAGCGAATCTTTTATTTCTCTTCTTCATGTCACCGGCTATAAACCCTGGTGGAAAGTTTTGGTTGTTAGTCTTCTTCTGGACTTTAGTTTTGGTCCAGAATTTAAGTATTCCATACACATCTGTTTAACAGATCTGAATTATTTGTATGCAAACTTGATTTCTGACCTCTCAGGCAAATGTACTCCACCTTCAGAGGGAACACCCTTAATTAGTCAACTTTATGATAAGCTTGCTAGGGGGCAGTAAGTCTCCCCCCCCCCCCCCCCCCTTGAGCCCGCCCGGAAATTTGAACGCGGATCTATATTGTAAATCAATTAATATGCTGATACTTTAATGCTATGATGTCAAACTGTCCTGCATCTGCATTTTGTATCAGTGGAGGGTTCTGGGGGTTCTCTTTACAATCATGCTGTAAAAGGTGACTAATTTAGGGTCTTCTAAAATCATATGTGTGTTTGAAAGATTCAAGTTTAACAGATTAGCTGTAAACCACAAGATAACGTGCCAAGCACATTCTTCAAACTCACAAAAATAAGAAGAAGAGTAAGAAGATTAAGAAGAAGAGATATACCACCTAGATCCTCTTCTTCTGCATTCATCTAAAAATATAAATGCGTTGTGCACACTTACATTATGGCGGTAATATCTGCACCTTTCAGCATTTGATGCCAGGTCCGCCTTCCTAGTCAGCTTAGACTTTATACCAGGCAGTCTATATCAGCTTTGCTAAAATTAGTATTTTGAATTAGGAATCGACATCACATAGAACTCGAGACACTCGATAAGCACTCTGCCCCCATCTTCAGCAGCAAGTGAAGAGTTCCAATTCCGATGGTACCAGTAGCTGTCTGACTGTATATCCATCTCACCTTTCCCTTGAGTGTTGAGCGCCGGTCAGATTCCCCAGTAACTCATCGTCGCAGTGGCAGTCTCCTCAGACCGTAATGACTGCTAAAATGAATATGACAATTCATGTGTGGTCATTCTTCTTCTTCTTCTTCTGCATTCAACATGAAAAGGGTAGCCGGATAGCTGCATTCTCATTTTCTAAGCTTCAGTATCTTAGCCTTATTGCCCAACATAACTGGTTTCAGCCAACCCCTACCTGGTTGCATTTTACAACATACTTTTTACAGTGGCAGTGGGTCTATTCTTTTTAAAACCAAAAACAGGAGCCATAAAACCCAAACAGGAAGTGGGACAATACTGTGTGTGAACAGATGACCCATTTCCTTGTTCAGATTTGAACTGTTTCAGAATTTGCTTCCTTAATCATTCTCTCCTTCTGTATCGTGGGCAAGAATTTTAAGTTGGTGACCCGAATACAGAGTAGACTAAAAATAGCTCCAAATCGTGACAAACTTAAGAGTTACAAGCCACAATGACTGCTCTAGAAAACAAACAATTGTCTAACTATGAATACTCAAACCAGGATCTCACCCAAAGGAACAAGTTACCTGATTCTGAAAACAGTTCACCGACTTTGTAAATTATTATTTCTTATTACATGAACTAATCAAAGAGAACAAATAAAATATAAAAGATATACAAATGCACTGTTTGCTCATTGATGTGTGATGTTCCAGTAAATGAGCAGAAAAAGCAAAACAACGTAACATATTGATGTCAACAGGAAAAAGGTAAAGGTGAGAACATCAACTTCATCGCACTAGGTTTTATCCCATATAGCTCAGTCTCTCTCTACAGAGCACAACCTCCGCAGCTCCAGTGACGAACCCCAAGCATCTCCGTAAAATTGCACTTATGATCTGAACGGCACTACTGGGAAACGAACCCACGATCTTGAGAGCGAGGCAAACGGCTTGACCACTTCACCACAGAGACCACTGACATCAACAAAATAAGATGCAGTAGTTGCCTCACACTGATGACTCACAGATGCTATTATTTGACTCCTATCGCTTGAATATCAGACTTACTGTCAATTATACATGAAGATTCATAAGGAGATCATATGTATTCATTCATCATATGGTAATCAGGAAACTGCAGTTGCAACTTGATAACTAATAAGTCACACCAAAGTTGCTCCATTCTTGTGCCAAAGAAAACCACACAGAATATCCATCACCGTCTCTTGTGGAGAAAATGGTCACAAACTGCAGTCTCAGCATATCCTATAGCAAACACATACATTAAATGATAAGGCAGCTGCCAGAAGTGCTAACACAAACAAATACTAGAAATGCAGTTCATCATCAATGGAGGCAGCAATTACAACAGATCAGTAGTTGCACATGTGATTAATCATATAGGGCACCACCAGTCAGTTCTGTGGCATCAGGCCTCTTGGCATTTTCTAAATCTACAATTCCCAACACAAACCACGTTGGTCAAGTTTGAAAAATATACCAAAGGAAATCCGCAGCTCATAATGTCTCACCATACATAAGTAGCTGGGCGACGAAATGATATCCTTTCAGTCTACATATGGAGAAAAATGCAATAGCCAACAACTGTCAGAAACAGAAACTTGCCATGAGTAAAATAAGTAACCTTGTTTATCCTCCATATTAACCAGAAGTTAAATGTATCATACTGTCACGAGGGAAAGCCTGAATACGCTGCACTGATAGCAAATCTGGAGGCGAAGAGAGACTGAAGGAGAACAAAAAAGATGATGCCGGACAAACTGGCATTATGGTATAGAGGAACATTGATGTCAAAAATGATTCAGTAACTCTCTCTTTATTCCCAACTCTCCAGAATCTTTGTTTTTGGTCATGTTTGTTTCGCAATATAAACATTTCTTCTGTAGATCCATATTTCCCAAGACGCAGTTTACCTATCTGACTGCTGCAGTGATACACTGCATAGAATATTCCACCACTTGACGTGTAACTTCACAGATACACAACCACAATAGTTGTTCACCAAGATTACAGTGCCTCATATTGTAAAATATTCTGGCAATGAAAGATTTAAGTTTTTAGTTGCAGTTCCAGTTTTATAGCAAACAGGTCACCCATATAACTGCTGTTCTTGCCCCATCAAAAACTCCACAGGATTCCATCATGGTCCCTTGTGAAAAAAACTGAAACAGATTGCAGTCTCTGAAAGGATAACAGCATTTTTTCTCTTTTAAGACTGGGTGTCCTTTACAAGATGTCACAGAACCAACACCAGCACTTTCTGGCTGTTGCAGAACCAACACTAGCACTTTCTGGCTGTTGCAGAACCAACACTAGCACTTTCTGGCTGTTTGTGGTTTTTCTAGGCATTTATATGTTCAGTATTCTGTCATTGTTTCCTAAGTGAACAGCACTACATAGTAGTGTTGAAATCAATGCAAAAACACTCAGGTTCTGGAACAGGACTGCAGTTCAAAAGTGGATGAACAACCAGAACTTTTTGCCAGAGTTTACAGCTGGTGAACATGAAGAAGAAGAAGAAGAAGACAGTCTTCAGTAAAGTGCTCCACACCAACCATTTAGCTGCCCAAGGTAACAGCAAAGGACCTTTTTAACACCTTCAACCATTTGGGTATACAGTGTAAGCACATATGTTTTATAAACTAATTAGTTTTCTGTGCGGGTCTTAGGGCCAGAGTGTGTGGGAAAAGATAGACTCAATGCCTCCCCAACAAGCATGTCATAAGAGTAAAAAAATTAGGGGGTTTCCTTCAAAATTGGAGCGCATTTACCTAAGAGGCAAAGAACTGACAGTCTACATACAAACAGCCACATCTGTACATCAGATGTGCATGCAAACTAAAGTTCTTGAACAAGACTTCAGTTCAAAAGGGGATGAACAATTAGAACTCAACGCCAGTTAACAGCCGGTGAATGCAAAGATGAAGAAGATCAATTAGTAACTAATAAACTCTTTCAGTCTTTAGACCTTGTTACTGTAACCCTTTCCTTTTGAAGAAGATCAGCGTAAAGCAATTAATACTGGTCTGAGGGAATTCAAAGGCCAAAAAAAGACAGAAGTAGTTAAACTAATAATTCAATATACAATGGATAAATACATGTCTGTACCAGAAGACAGCAAGAACATTATAGTATGGTTGGAGTGACCAAGAAACTCAGTTTAAAAAAAGTTAATGATGCAGTAAATGGCCTGCTAATTACCTTCACTTCATTGAGCTGGTTGTTGATTCAACTTTAGTTCATTAACTCTTTCAGTACCAATGAATGCATCCTGTGTTAGTTATAACTAATTTCATTGTCCTCTATTACTGAAAAAATAATGCGCTAGAACTAATTTTAGGCCCGATTAACCTAGGAGTTTGGAACAAAGCAATCCTTGCTTTTAATTTTAACCTCAAAGAGAATTCAAATACACTACATCCAGGCCAGCAAATCAGGATGCTTGCAAGTCACTGCACACAAAATATATCAAACCAGAAGAGGAACTATGCAGCTTCAAAAACTCACAATCATGAATGATAAAATGAAAGATGTAGCTAGAAAACCTTTATCAACAAACAACACAAAATGACAATGATATAAATACCATAAAGCATACATAAAATTACATATCTGTAAAATGAGGTCTGTCAAAAACAAGCAGCTGCCTCAAGATAACAGTATCAGTCTCATGTAACAAAGTCTATCTCAAAGTCGGCGGGGGTGGAGGGGGGGTGTTTGCTATTGGAAAGGGGGGGAGAGAGGGTTGGATTTACCTAAAGGGATATTTTTTTGGGTATTTATTCGCAATTAAATAAGTAGGACATGAATGACACCGGTCCAAATGCAGATTCATTGGAACAGGACTCCATGGATAGAGCTATTCAAATAAGTTTGCTCAGGAGCCAGAATGTTGAAAATGGGAATTGTCATGGGCCAGAGGCTCAAACACAGAAAGATCATTAATATAAAACAACAGACAGTGATCAACGGGCAGCTTGTTAGGTCTCTGTGGGCCAAATTGGGCCCGTGGGCCAATTGTTGAACAGACCTGTTTTATGAAGTGGAGAAATCAGCAAAGGAATAGTGATAATGCAGAAAATGACTGCAGAGATGTTAAGAGCTCAGCCTCTGAGAAGAAGCAAATTAATACAGGGGATGTCAACAACGGTCCTGAATCCCCATGCTCTGAGTGTTGAAGACGTCTCTTAATGTGAGCAGGTCTTGTTGGTCACATTTACCATCACCATGGGCTGTATTTCCTATACCTGCATAAGGTACAACACAAGATGTATCTGGAAAGGTGCCAACTAGCTAACCATTTATTGCAAATTATGGTGCACATTTGAATTTTTGACATTACCTCAAAAAAGAAAAGGTACCTTATGCTGTTATGAAAACCTCTGCAAAATTGGACATAAGACACAGAAGAAGTACTGGCTAAGAAACCACATAAATAAACAAAGGGAAAACCCTTGAAGCCTTATAAATATTATAGATACATAATTAATTTGGAGACAATCTTTGACCTGCACTTATAGAAAGAATTAATTAATTATATATCTATAATTGGCTATAAAAGGGACACACAGGACTGGAGAACATGCTAAAGAAAGAGAGACTTTCAAGCGTGCTGTGAAGACAGCAACATTCTGCAAAGGACCTGCTGACTGATGATGGTAGCATAGATGTTAGTTCACAAATTACTGTGGTAATGTTTTATCCCTGAACAGATAGGATTCCTTATTTCAGCTAACATAGCTGTTTGATCAATCAAGCCTTCCTCCTGTGGGTTCAGGGGGCCCATTGTGGGGGGGATAACAAGAGTAGACCCACTGCCTCCCTAGCAAGCACGTCGTAAGAGTCGACAATTAGGGGTTTTCTTCTAAGTCAAAATGCATCAGCCTGACAAGAAACCAAGACTGTAAAGAAATAAGTCAGATCTGTAACACAAATGTGTACACTAAACTCAGGTTCTGGATCAAGTAGAAAGCAACCAGAACTTTCTGCAAGAAAGAAAAAGAATCAAGCCGCATAAAACTGGTACTTGGTCAATTTTAAGAATTGTATAAAGTAATTTAGTAAGGTATTGGGGAAGAAGAAAACTGGTCATCCCACTCCATTCTGCCATATCCCTGAACATACATACAAAGGATACTAAAGGCTTAACACTTCACCCAAATGGCAATTCAAGGACCACCTTATTCAGGAATTCAGACTGGTATAATTTGAATTCAAGCAGACAAGAGTTGAAGAAAAGTTAATGCCGCTGGACAGAACACACACTGAAAAATCTGAGAATATAACAAAATAATGTCTTGCACTAGAATCAACAGGGGCAAACAAAAATTTTAAAAAGACCCAAAACACATAAAGGAGGAAGCTAGAGAGTGCTGTTAAAAAGATTGGGAGAACATGCGATGAGCTGCATGCAATAGTGAAAGATAGAGCAACTTGGGGTGCACTGGTCGAGCGCCTATGATCCACTGAGGGATAGAAGGAAGAAGAAAAGGGATTATGAGTGGAATTCTACAGTAATATGTGAGACTAATACTCCAGACCCTAGTGCTAAACAGCTCCTCTCAAAATTGACAATTCTGATATTTATAACAATAAACACTGAATTAGGCAAACAACTAAGACTGCATACTCATTTATCACTGACTTACTCAGTATACACAACAACAGTGAAAGACGTTCCAAAAAAATGAGATTGTTTACTCGCTTATCACCAGCTAACACAGTTTACACAACAATGAAGGAAGCAAACATTTACTCAGGCTGCATAAGAATTTATCACTGAGACTAACCTAGCAAGTACAACAACACTGAACGATTCAAATACAGACAGTGATACACAAAACACTTATCATCGACTAACTGAAAAAAAAGTAAACAACTGAGACTGCATAATGACTTGTCAAAGAGTAAAACCTAGTATATAGAATGACACAGCGGATAAAGTGAACAAATAAGACTGCATTTGCATTTATCATACTAACACACACACACACACAGAGAGAGAGAGAGAGGTGTGTGTGTGTGTGTGTGTGTGTGTGTGTGTATCTATATTAATAAAAATGTTAATTTTCCGATGATGTAAGCTAAAAACTACTGAACCGATTGCTTTCAAATTTGCACACAACGTTGCCTTTGACTCCAAGCGTGATTTTTTTGTCAGAAAATCGCACAAACCACGAACGACGTAGCTCCAGCAATGGTCAAATCATTATCTGTTTCATTGCCGGCCCAGATTTGTTTTTATGTGATCGGCCATATTTGACTGCTGAGCTCTTATTGAACTTTGCATTATTATATAATTTCATTTCTACTATTTGCTTGAGTGTTTGGTAGCGTAGTTGTTAACTATACTGCCTATCATGCAGGTGACCCGCGTTCAACTCCCCGCCAGGCGATACAATTTTTTTTTAGTTCCTAACTGGGCGGCTGGCACGTTGTGTTGTGGTTTATGGCTAGGCTGCGATATCTACGCCTTTTTCGGTTTTGGGGTTTACAGCTAACCTGCGACAGCGGCGACGTGATGCTTAATAGTAAGGTCATGGGTAATCTTCATTCGCCCTCAAGAGGGCCGTTGGCACGTTATGTTGTGGTTTACAGCTAGGCTGCGCTATCTGATTTAAACTCTTCAGTCATCAGTAGTAAAGTTGTAAGTATGTCATCCTCCACTCAGGTGACCGGTGTTCGATTCCCTGCTGGGTGATAATTGTTCTTTTTCCCCTAAAAGGGTGGTTGCCACATTGTGTTGTGGTTTACAGCTAGGCTGCGATATCTGTGCCTTTCACCCAAAGACATCCAATTTCAGTTAAGTCCTTATTTCATAACTATTTCTATTTTAATAATTTTGCCATGGATGATTTTTCAATCCTTCGGAGAGGGAAATATGACTGCGAGGAGGGGGTATGACAGACACTGTTAGCTGAGAGCTATTTTCTTTCCTCTCCATTTCACCAATCTGGGCCACAGCAACGCGTGGCTGGGTACAGCTAGTGTGTATATATATAGTCCTGTTCACATTTCCAGGCCCTAGATTAGAGTAACTTTCCTTGCCATTCATGCCTCCTAAGGTTGCTGAACCTCTCCTATGTTGCGAGGTTAATGTATGTAATGTTTGTGGAAGGTTGTGCTGTTGTGAGTCTATTTCAGGTGCCTGTGTACAAGTAAGAAGTACTGCAGGGGGAAGTGCCGCAAGCACGACAATTCCTGGCTATTTAAACTGGGATGTGTTTGTATTTCTACATTTGTAAAGAGAAAAAAAAAACAATTACAATGAGCCTAGGAATAGCAAAATATCGCTGCTTCTACACTCCCAAACCGTCCCGCAGGTAGCAGAACATGAAAATAATCATGCAAATGCAGTGAGAAGACGAGAAAAGAGGCAACGGTTAAACAATTCACAATAAGGAAAACATGACTCCCCACAACATAGGAGAGGTGCAGCGACCTAAGAAGGCATGAATGGCAAGGAAAGTTACTCTAATCCTGGACACGTGAATAGCACCATATAAATATATATATATATATATATATATATATATATATATATATATATATATATATATATATATATATATATATATATATATATATATATATATATATATATATATATTTAAAAAAAAACAAATTTTTCATGAATGATGGCCAGACCAAGAGAGTCAATACACTTGCTTCTCTTAACAACTTCAAGGCCACAAATAACTAAGTGGAGACTATTGAGGAATGCTTGGAAGGACTACTGAGATGGTACATAAAACAATATTGAATGAATCAACGGCATACAGTTACTTGTTACTTATGGCACGCTTGATATGTGATATGCACGCATACATAGTTACACACACACTTTCACTCATCGCAAACATTCATACATACATGATACAAACCCAGTAAGAGACAGCAACACTCCACAAAGTATATAACTGCGCCTGCATACTTACTTATCGCCGAACGATTTCTTCCACCAGTCAGCAGCATCACCTTTAGTTATCCTAAAATTCTCCCCGGCAAATACTCCACTGGGGTAGATGGCCTTGAGTTCGGCCAGCATATGAGAGAAGACAAGACTCAGTTTGGTCAAGTTCCGTCGACTGTGTGAATTCTCGTCGTACATTTTATCCTTACCATCCCTAAACAGTTTAGTGGTATTTTTGCACTTGTTCATCAGATTTTCTATAAACGTTCTGAAATATTCGCATTCGTTTAAAGTCTGCAGCTTGTCTTCATGTTTGGAGCAAATCGTTCGTAGATGTTGGTAAGTGTCGGGGAGGGTGTCCAGAATAAACGGTGGACTGTTCCTCAAGTTCATCTTTGGATGCTGGCACAGCTTGACAACTTTGTCCATCATCTTCCATGATTTCTCTATGGTCTTCTTGTCAACGACAACAAGTTTTGGGGGAACAAGAACGCCTTGAATTTGCTTTAACATGGATCCTAAGTTTTTAGTCTGCTTGTTGCCCAGCGCCATCTTAAGCTTCCTAGTCCCCAGGAGGGGAGAGCTTCCGGCGGAAGTTGGGGGTTACGTGGTGCTTGAGTGGGCGTCACCCCGAGAACAGGAGGCAGAGGAGAGAGGCATCACAGCACAGGAGCATGGCTTTTAAATATAACTGTCAGATCTGCAGAATGGGCTGGCTGTTCGCGCATAACGCCTACGCATTTGATGCTAGAGCACGTCAGGTCCTAATCTTTCTGTGTCAAGCAAATCAGCATCAACAGCTCGTGTTTCTCATTCCTCCACGCGTGTTTATTTAACTAATGCCATCACTATTATCTTGTGCCATTTATATCCTACACAGTGCTCTCGAATCCCACACATACCGGACTACAAGATACCTTGTATCCGTTTGGTGCATTTTAACTGTGCTTTATATCAGTGTCTGTGGCTTAAGCGTTGCGAATGCGCTTAGTAATGCCAGGGTACAAGGTTTGATCCCAGCTGCGGACTGTCTAGCGATGGTTCCGACAGTGGTACCAAGAGCTGACCATTTAGGAAGCAACAGCAAACTACTGAACGTCGAATTTGCCTAGAAAAACCACAACAGCACAAAAATGTTGGGGATGGTTCTGCAACGTCAAGTAAAGAACATGCAACTAATGTTTTGTAATGGCCATATAGCAGAATGTGGCGTAGTAAAGACGAGAGAATTACTCTTGGGGTAAATTTTTTTAGCCCCTCGGCGATGCATTTAATGATGATGATTTTCAAACCTCGCCACGTTGTGTAAAAGGTCTTGAATGCACTACACATAAATAGGCGATCATTGCTGTTCCCTGATGCAATCATTACTGATAGCAAAGACGCCGGAAGCTGTAACTCAATTTTTTTCAAGTTTTGTCGACAATGCGTTGACGCGGGAGTCGCCGTGGTTAAGCGGCCAGACTTCTGCCTGCGGATCGGAAGGTCGTCGGTTCGGGTCCTCACGTAGCCGGCTTTTTTTTTTTTCAAGAATGACATTGGCTCCGAATTCGACCCAGCCTTAAGATGTATCAGGTATAGTCCTGGGAAGTAAAGGCGGTCGGCGTTAGTTAGTCAGGTAGTTAGTCAGTTAGTTAGTTAGTCAGTTAGCTAGTCAGTTAGTCAGGTAGTTAGTTAGTCAGTTAGCTAGTCAGCTAGCTAGTCAGTTAGTTAGTTAGTTAGTTAGTCAGTTGGTTAGTTAGTTAGTTAGTCAGTCAGTTAGCTAGCAAGTTAGCTAGTCAGTTAATCAGTTAGCTAGTCAGTTAGTTAGTTAGTCAGTCAGTCAGTTAGTCAGTTGGCTAGTCCGTTAGCTAGTCAGCTAGTTAGTTAGTCAGTCAGTCAGTTAGTTAGTCTGTTAGCTAGCCAGCTAGTCAGTCAGTCAGTTAGCTAGTCAGTTAATCACTTAGGCAGTCATTTAGTTAGTTAGTCAGTTAGCTAGTCAGTTAATCACTTAGTCAGTCATTTAGTTAGTTAGAACAGTTAGCTAGTCAGTTAATCACTTAGGCAGTCATTTAGTTAGCTAGTCAGTTAGCTAGTCAGTTAGTCAGCTAGTCAGTTAGTTGTTTAGTCAGTTAGCTAGTCAGTTAGTTAGTTAGTTAGTTAGTTAGTCAGTTAGATAGTCAACTAGTCAGGTAGTTAGTTAGTCAGTTAGCCAGTTAGTTAGTCAATCAGTTAGTTAGTCAGTTAGCTAGTCAGCTAGCTAGTCAGTTAGTCAGTTAGTTAGATAGTTAGTTAGTCAGTTAGCTAGTCAGCTAGCCAGTTAGCTAGTCAGTTAGCTTGTCAGTTACTTAGTTAATTAGTTAGTTAGTTAGTTAGTTAGTCAGTCAGTTAGTCAGTTAGTTAGTTAGTTAGCTAGTCAGTTAGTCAGTTAGCTAGTCAGTTAGTTAGTTAGTCAGTCAGTTAGTTAGTCTGTTAGCTAGCCAGCTAGTCAGTCAGTCAGTTAACTAGTCAGTTAGCTAGTCAGTTAATCACTTAGTCAGTCATTTAGTTAGTTAGTCAGTTAGCTAGTCAGTTAATCACTTAGTCAGTCATTTAGTTAGTTAGTCAGTTAGCTAGTCAGTTAATCACTTAGTCAGTTTTTTAGTTAGTTAGTCAGTTAGCTAGTCAGTTAATCACTTAGGCAGTCATTTAGTTAGTTAGTCAGTTAGCTAGTCAGTTAGGTAGTCAGTTAGTCAGTTAGTTAGTTAGTTAGTTAGTTAGTTAGTTAGTTATTTAGTTAGTTAGTTAGTTAGTTAGTTAGTTAGTTAGTTAGTTAGTTAGTTAGTTAGTTAGTTAGTTAGTTAGTTAGTTAGTTAGTTAGTTAGTTAGTTAGTTAGTTAGTTATTTGTTAGTTATTTAGTTAGTTAGTCAGTCAGTTAGTTAGTTAGTTAGTTAGTTAGTTAGTTAGTTAGTTAGTTAGTTAGTTAGTTAGTTAGTTAGTTAGTTAGTTAGTTAGTTAGTTAGTTAGTTAGTTAGTTAGTTAGTTAGTTAGTTAGTTAGTTAGTTAGTTAGTTAGTTAGTTAGTTAGTTAGTTAGTTAGTTAGTTAGTTAGTTAGTAAGTTAGTCAATCAGTCAGTCAGTCAGTTAGTAAGTTAGTTAGTTAGTAAGTTAGTCGGTCAGTCAGTCAGTTAGTTAGATAGTTATTTAGTTAGTAAGTTAGTCGGTCAGTCAGTCAGTCAGTTAGCAAGTTAGTCGGTCAGTCAGTCAGTCAGTCAGTTAGTTAGTTAGTTAGTTAGTTAGTTAGTTAGTTAGTTAGTTAGTTAGTTAGTTAGTTAGTTAGTTAGTTAGTTAGTTAGTTAGTTAGTTAGTTAGTTAGTTAGTTAGTTAGTTAGTTAGTTAGTTAGTCGGTCGGTCAGTCAGTCAGTTAGTTAGTTAGTTAGTTAGTTAGTTAGTTAGTTAGTTAGTTAGTTAGTTAGTTAGTTAGTTAGTAGTTAGTTAGTTAGTTAGCTAGTTAGCTAGTTAGCTAGTTAGTTAGTTAGTTAGTTAGTTAGTTAGTTAGTTAGTTAGTTAGTTAGTTAGTTAGTTAGTTAGTTAGTTAGTTAGTTAGTTAGTTAGTTAGTTAGTTAGTTAGTTAGTTAGTTAGTTAGTTAGTTAGTTAGTTAGTTAGTTAGTTAGTTAGTTAGTTAGTTAGTTAGTTAGTTAGTTAGTTAGTTAGTTAGTTAGTTAGTAAGTTAGTCGGTCAGTCAGTCAGTCAGTTAGTTAGTTAGTTAGTTAGTTAGTTAGTTAGTTAGTTAGTTAGTTAGTTAGTTAGTTAGTTAGTTAGTTAGTTAGTTAGTTAGTTAGTTAGTTAGTTAGTTAGTTAGTTAGTTAGTTAGTTAGTAAGTTAGTCGGTCAGTCAGTCAGTTGGTTAGATAGATAGTTAGTTAGTTAGTTAGTTAGTTAGTTAGTTAGTTAGTTAGTTAGTTAGTTAGTTAGTTAGTTAGTTAGTTAGTTAGTTAGTTAGTTAGTTAGTTAGTTAGTTAGTTAGTTAGTTAGTTAGTTAGTTAGTTAGTTAGTTAGTCAGTCAGTTAGTTAGTTAGTCAGTCAGTTGGTTAGATAGTTAGTTAGTTAGTTAGTTAGTTAGTTAGTTAGTTAGTTAGTTAGTTAGTTAGTTAGTTAGTCGGTCGGTCGGTCGGTCGGTCGGTCGGTCGGTCGGTCGGTCGGTCGGTCGGTCGGTCCGTCAGTCAGTCAGTCAGTCAGTCAGTCAGTCAGTCAGTTAGTCAGTTAGTTAGTTAGTTAGTTAGTTAGTTAGTTAGTTAGTTAGTTAGTTAGTTAGTTAGTTAGTTAGTTAGTTAGTTAGTTAGTTAGTTAGTTAGTTAGTTAGTTAGTTAGTTAGTTGGGATATGATCAGTGCACTCCTGACATGTCCCGGTGCTCAGATCCTTCCCTCAGTATGAACCCCAGCGTCGTGTGATGTTGACAATATCACCTACCGAAAACTGAATGATGTGTAAAATAAAGGTCTAGTCTTTGGAAATATGTCCAGCACGCATAAAGGCATACTTTATTTTACTTTACTTTACTTTATGATTAAACTGGATTTCTGGGATTGGTTCCTGTTTTATTCTCTTTATGGTAACCCTACAGACTGCAATCGTGAAAATCGGAGCGGGGCTGTGCATAGGCACTTATCAGAGTGACTGGTCCAGCTCTTGTCTGGACCTGAATTTTAAGAATCTTTTCTGATCCTCCTGTAGGTGGTGTGGCAGTTCCAAGCAATCGGTTCCTAATCGCAAAGCCTACGCCTTGTTCCATGGGCTCCGAAGATGGTTTTCCCTGCCAGAAAAATGTGAAGTCCTTCTCTTTGATGCTACCTGAGGAGGAGAGCCGGGTTTCCTGTAGGGCAACAATGTCTACGTTCAAACGGGACAGTTCATTGTTAATGACTGCAGTTTTCCTTACATCGCTCATATGCTGCAGATCGTCCAGAATACCAGGTGTCATGGTCCTCACGTTCCATGTGCCCAGCTTCAGAGCTGGGAATCTGATTTTTTGGCTTCAAGGATTACAATTTGTATGTCGGGTTATCCCCTAAGCCCTGTGCACCCAACAAGGCAAACGGATCGTGGCGGGACAACACCTTACTGACTGGGGGCTGCCCAGCTGAGGCGGGCGGTAGCTGTCCAATGAGACTACGATGGTCTCTCCCACCGTCGGAAACAACCCCTGGCGCCTAGCTCTACGCCAGTTGAGCAAAGGCTTATAACCGGTGACTGCTGTTTCCCGTGTTGTGTCGAAACTGTTAAGCATCGCTGGAGTGACCTCTCCAGGGCACAGGCCAGGGCGTTTTGATTTGGAGTACAGACTGTTGCCCAGGCAGCAAGTACCCCCTCTCTACGTCGCCGGTGATACCAAGGGAAAGGCAAAAACCAGTACAGCTTGGCACCGAGGACGTTGCAGGAATTGCCGGAACAACACTATTTAACTAGTCAGAGTCAAAGGTCCTATGGATATTTTTTCCAGTCATGTCGGTGTGTTGGGAAACAAGCAGACATATAGAATGATCGGTTCTGCACTACTTGGTGGTAATTGATGTATGAGAAGCTTGATGTTGTGAGGAAGGGCCTTTTCAACATTTAACATTCAAACACGCAAAAGACCGGTTGCCGGGCAAAGAAAGGAGATAAGCCAATCGAGTTGTGTATGTTGAGCATGGAGAGACTAAGATAGCTGTTCCTTCAAAGGATGGAGCACGCGTGAGTCAGACCGATGTGTAGGAAGGATATCGATACGGATAACAGGTAAGATTACAGTGCCTTTCTGTAAAAGTAAAAGCTAAAATAATCGACTCTAGGTTGAATCCTCCCACATGTTAACTACGTCACATTATGGTCACCACGGTAACGACGCTGTAGACTATATTGACAGTATTACTGTTTAGCAGAAATTTGTTGTTTATTTTTGTGTACGTTGCTTACTAGAGCAAAGTCAATTTACAATGGCGACAACCACCAGAACTATCACTCGGGCGTTGAGTAAAGACACAAGAACGCTTGATTGCATCTATGGTAAAATTATTACATTAACAGTAATAAATTATTAGGACGGACACAGAATGTGACAGATCATCGTCATCATGATGATCATGCTTTCATTATGCAGATTGCACGGTCCTCGTTTTAGTTGAGTTAGGCTGATTCGAGAACTGACATCATAGCACTCAGGGTATTCCCATGGGTGCTCCTTCCTCATCTCCAGCAGCCAGTGCAGAGTTCTAATAATACTCATAGTATCAGGCACAATCTGGCCCTCCTTTCTAACGGTGTAAAGAAAGAAAAAAATAAGGTGGAAGAAGGAGAGGGGGGGGGGGGGGTACACCATTTTATCATGTATGTACACAAACACAGTACACTTTTCTTGAAAGTAAGTAAATGACTAAAACAAATATACTACTTTTGAAAGAAGAAGAGGAAGAAATACTACTAGTAGTAGTAGTAGTAGTAGTAGTAGTAGTAGTAGTAGTAGTAGTAGTAGTAGTAGTAGTAGTAGTAGTAGTAGTAGTAGTAGTAACAGTAGTAGTAGTAGTAGTAGTAGTAGTAACAGTAGTAGTAGCAGCAGCAGCAGTAGTAGTAGTAGTAGTAGTAGTAGTAGTAGTAGTAGTAGTAGTAGTAGTAGCAGCAGCAGCAGTAGTAGCAGCAGCAGCAGTAGTAGTAGTAGTAGTAGTAGTAGTAGTAGTAGTAGTAGTAGTAGTAGTAGTAGTAGTAGTAGTAGTAGTAGTAGTAGTAGTAGTAGTAGAAGTAGTAGTAGTAGCAGCAGTAGTAGTAGTAGTAGTACCAGTAGTAGTAGTAGTAGTAGTAGTAGTAGTAGTAGTAGTAGTAGTAGTAGTAGTAGTAGTAGTAGTAGTAGTAGTAGTAGTAGTAGAAGTAGCAGCAGCAGGAGTAGTAGTAACAGTAGTAGTGATATCAGCATCAGCAAAAGCAGTGATAGAAGCAAAACAGGAGGTGCAGTAGTAGCAGTAGCATCAGCTGCAGTTGTAGGGGTGATGGTGGTGGTGGTAGTAGAAGTAATTATAATCTTCTGATGTTCCTAACTAGACGTCTTTTATGTTATCAGGTGCCGTCTCCACAGTGAAGGTTGCTTGATAAATAGATCTCCAACATACCCTGTCTTTTGTCCTGGTTGTACACTCTCTCATACTGCTGCTCGTCCATCTTTTGATATTGTACTCCCACTTGTATCATCATCATCAGTTCTCATTATGCCTAGTGGCACATGAGGTTTCATAGAGGACTTTCCATGCTTTCCTGTCCTGTGCAATCTTCGGTGCAGTTTTCCATGTCAAAGATGCCGCACTCAGGTCACTTTCCATCGTTCGTCTCCATGTTGTTTTTGGGCGCCCCTGTTTTCTCTTTCCCTCTGGTGTCCATGTGAGAGCTGTTTTGGCGGGTAAATCAGGATTCATACTCATAACGTGGCCAAGCCATTTCCATCTTTTCTTGGTTATCATACTGTCTAAAGTTTCTTGGTTTGTGACTTGAAGTAGTTTAGTGTTTGAGATTGTATCTGGCCAGAAAATGTTGAAAATTCTACGTAGACATGTGTGGTGAAAGGTGGACAGCTTGCAGTAATTGTTGGATTTCCAGATTTGCCTCATCCTTCCAAAAGCAGCTCTAGCTTTGTTCAGACGTGACTGTATGTCCTCTTCTGTCCCTCCAGACAGGGACACCACACTGCCAAGATATGTAAAAGGTTCTACATTTTCAAGAGTTTGGTTATTTATGGTCACTGATTGTTGGTTTGGACTGCTTGTCATGATCTTAGTTTTCTTTGTATTTATTCTTAGTTCCACCATTTCTGCTGTGCTGTGTAGTCTGTTACTTTTTTATTGTATATGTTCATGTTTATGTGATAGGAGTGCTGTATCATCTGTAAATCAAGGTCTTCAAGCACGTTGAATGGAGTCCATCGTACGCCTCTCAGTATCATGTCTACTGTGTTCTTTAGTATCCAATCAATCACAAGGTTGAAGAGGAGAGATGACATAACACATCCCTGTCTTACACCTGTTTTTACTGGGAAGGATGTATTGTAATTTTTTATACTGCAGGAAAAGTCTTTATAGAAGAGAGCAATTATGTTTCTGGAATTCCATAATGACGTAAGATTTTCCATAGACTGTCTCTATGGACGCTGTCAAAAGCTTTCTCAAAGTCCACAAAATTTATGTGTATACTTCTCTGCCATTCATTGCATTGTTCTTAAATATTACGTAAGATGTGTTCAGTTGTCCCTCTGCCCTTTCTGAATCCTGCTTGTTCCACTCGTAGGCATTTATCTACTCCTATTTCAAGCCCCATTATGATAATTTTACAAAATATTTTGCTTGGTACTGAGACTAGAGTAATTCCCCTCCAATTATTGCAGTCTGTTAAGTCTCCTTTTTTGGTGATTTTGACTATTGTTCCTTCAGTCCACTTGTATAGTTGCCAACAACTTGCTATCTTGTCTTCGATTTTCCCATCCAGTATGGTTTTAGAAAGTGTCTTATGTCTTTTAATATTGTCAAAGTATTTCAATGGTCTCTCTTTTTTTTTAAATTTCTTTCAGTAATTCTCTTGTCTAGCCTTTCCAGTACTTGTGTATTGGACTTTTTGTTTCCATGAAATACGACCTATTATTCTGTATACCCACATCTCCAGAGACTCAATTGTCGTCTTTAACTACAGTGGACCTCCAACATTCCTCAACGCCAATATTCGTCTATTTTAAAATTCGAGCTCATTTTTCGTTGAAATGTGTGTTTGATATTCGCCCGAAAAGTCAATATTCGTCCCTCCTCCGACGTGGCCAAGTGGGAGTATAATAGAACGGATCTCACACCACAAGAGCTACTCGAGCTTAATTAAGAACATGAAGCTGAAGCAATCAGAGAAATTTCCTCACACGAAGAAAAAGAAGATGACACCGGTTTTAAGTTTTGAAATTATGGAGTGGCTGTTCACTTCGGCAAAAATGCCGGGTTTCATCAAGAAATGGCACCCAAACAGAATAAACTAACATTATTGGATAGCTTCTTTAAAAAAAAAAGTGCGGAAGAATCAATCACCAAAAGTGGTAATACCTGATGTCCTATCTGAAAGTGACTCCCCTTCCAAACAATGGTCGTTTGTTTTCACCTAAATCCAAAACGTATTTTTCTTTTGAAAATTGTATTTATGCTGGCCTACAGTGTATTTGCATTATCATAACTAGTAATCTCTGTCGCAATGATACAGTAATAATAAGCACAATGGTTATTATGTAAATAATAATATTTTTGAGTGAAATTGTTTCATTGAAAAATAATTTTGTTTTGGCATTTTTAATTAATTCCCATGGTAAATATTCGTTTCATATTCTTCTTTTTCAATATTCGCACTCTCCCCAGGAACGGATGTTGGAGTTCTATTGTACTTGCTTGTTGAGGGGTTGTGGTGAAACCCTTAAGGAAAGATAATGATAAAGATACCTTTAAAGATTTTTGTGTAAATATTTCAGACGAAAATTACATCGAATGTTCAAAGAGAGACTACGACAGAATGTCCTACAAGGCCCGGGCGCAAGCTAGTAGTTTTGTAAGTTCATGGTGTACATTCCCTATTTCCAGATCGTGACTTATAATTTTCATTATTTCTGGCTGGAATTGTCTCCACGGAATGTAGGTGTTCTGAATAAATAACCAGTCATCCACATGTGGGATGCAATTTTTCGTTATCTGAAGCCCCGCCCTAGCTTTTGCCGGGGGCCCTGAGTATAGCCGGACCATAAATGGTCTGCTAGTCTGATCTGGTAGTCTTAGTTTCAGCTTCATAGCAAACGGGTCACCCCATCTAGAGAGATTCTTTAACCCAGACAATAATAATCATGTGTTGAATGGTAAATAACTATAATGGTACATTTGTGGTTTGAGGTTTAAACACCGGTTCAACATCATGGGACACAGGTAGTGCTCCGTTCTTCTTCTAACTGAAGCCTGAGTCCGAAGAAGCCCAGCATAGTGCACAGGCTGTGTAGCATCGGCAAGGATCCTGAAATACTTTGGGTAGATTTTTAACTCAAAATTGTGCCTGGGCAGCGTCGCTAGGCTACTCTTTTTGATTTCAAGTGGCAAGGGATTTTTTACGTGCGCAACAATGCACACGGGCGTCTGATCTCACTACCCAGAGACCAGGAGAATTACTAAAAGTCCAAGTCCACGTGAAAAAATCTTATCTCTTACCGGGGATTGAACCCGGAACCTCAAGCACTCGAGGCGGACACCATGCCTCGAGACCACGCAGCGCCCAATTTATATTTGAAATAACGTGAAACATATCTTCTTTTGAAATACAATCAGACAGTTACTGATACCATCGAAATTGGAACTCTTCGCTTGCTGCTGAAGATGGGGACGGCGCGCTCATAGGGGTGTCCCGAGTGCTGTGATGTCGATTTCTTATTTAGCATTTAACATATCTGCTTCTTCTTTTCGTTAACTGCCTGCAACTCTGGTAAAAAGTCTCGGTTGTTTGTCCACATCTGGACTTAAGTCCTATTTCAGAACTCAGTGTTGCGTGCACATCCGTATTATACATCTGACGTATTTGTATGCTGGTTCTTTGCATCTGAGGCAGAGACACTCTCACTCCGATGGAAGCCACCAGTTAGTAAAATTTCTGGGGAGGCTGTGGGTCTATTCTTCCCCCCCCCCCCAAAAAAAACATGGCCCTGAAAGGCATACGGGGATGAAATATATAATCAAATACTTTCTTGTGTACACTGTTAAAGAGAACTGCTTAACCTCCGTACACAATTATAGGGAGGGGAAGTGTTTTAACCCCCTTCCCCACACACCACACACACACACACTCACACCACACTGACACCCCACCGCACACACACGACCCTCCCTCCTCCCCCCCCCCTGCCCCCACACACTCACAAAATTAGGATTGCGCTCCTGAAGACTGAACCACCAGGTTCTAGCGCCTATAGTTAAAAAAAAAATATGTTGACTGCAGCCGATCTGAGAAGCGGCTGGCCACAAGGTTAAGAACGCTGGGCTCTCATATGCGAAACCCGGTTTGGAATCCTAGTTAAGGTTGTGAATTTGTTTCTGTCAGGGCAAAAAATTAACCTGTACAGACAGTGGTGACAGCACTAGCCATTCAGCCCTAAATCCTCAGGTTCAACGAACCCCCCCCCCCCCCCCCCGGCTACACTGCAACTGTGGCAAATACAGCTAGTAATAGTATTGTTTTGAAACCGATCTGTCACTAAGTAACTAAAGACAGCACAAACTTGGAAGCAAAAAAAAGTGGGGGGGGGGGGGGGGGAAGGACACGATGCACATGGTTTCGCCGAATGTTTTGACATGTCTTTATCAGTGAACAAAACAAAAGGAATCGTAAGTCAATAAACAAACGGATGCTTTCCCAATATTTTCCCTCAGGATGACGTCACAGGACAGTCTAATATTTTCACGGGTGGTAAGAGCGGGTTTCCAAGCTTTCTTATGCCTTTAACTACCCGAGAACATCTAAAACTGGGCCTAACCACAACCCCACGTACGTCCAACGAGAAAGTGCAGCCTAGGTCCCACGATTTCATGCAGCCTAGGTCCCACAACTGCTTGTAGCCTATCTACCACCCCCTAAAATATTCGACTGTCTGTTTGGGAGGGGAGGGGGTGAGATTAGGATAAATTGACGTGTGTATGCATTATTCTATAATGTATATTTTTTAATTATAAACATAACAGGCATCATTACTCTGAAAGAAAAGGGCTCAGAAGGGCCGAATGTCAGACGGGCCCTCGTGCCCAATTTGTAACGCTTTAAAAATAAAGTTCGTTCGTTCGTTTGTTCGTTCTGTGACTGGCATTTTATTTCCAGTTGCTAATTCCAAAGGTTTGTTGACCTGTGTATCTCTCTGCCTCACCGTCTACCCCATTTTTACCTTTTATGTATGCAGTTTTTGTATGTTATTTACCGTTTTCTGAATATGCCTCAAACCAATGCAATCTTTTAGCCGTCGTGATTTAATTAATTAGCGTGATTTAAAGAGATTATGAATTTCGTTGTTTGCAATAACAACGTGAGAAAAACTATTTGCACAAAAATAGTCCGACATAGAGACAAAATAAGCTATTGCGTAATGAAACAATTCGCTTACTGTGTTTTTTTTTTAATTATTTATACTTTAAATTTTAGCTTTACATTTGATAATACTCATAACTGATTACATTTGCGTTTTATTCTTTACATGTAGGTATATTTTGTAGTCTCTTATTTGGGGTTGCCGCTTCACAATGGGGCCTATATTTTATGAAGTCTGCCTATCTGTAAAACTGTCTATTTATGTTTCCTTCTTCTTCATTCCCCTTCATCGTTGCTGCTGTAATTCTCCAACGGAAAGTTATGACTGTTCGTTTACTTCTGGACTTGTTCTAGAACTGGAGTTTTGCGTGCACATCTGCTTTACATCTCAATATTATTGTATGCAGACTGTTGATTCCTCGCCTCTCAGGCAGATGCACTCTGACTTTGAAGAAAAGACCATTAATTTGTCGACTTTGACCACATTTCTGTTAGGGGTAAGAAAGACAGTGGGTCTGTTCTCCCCACAATTCACCTCCCCCCCCCCCCCACGCCCCCCACCCCCACTGGAACAAACTGCTCATTACTGCCTTTATTATACCACATTTGCGGTGTCAGCAGGGGGATCTTTGAGCCTGAGGATGTACGGCCCGTGGCTAGTGCTGTCGCCACGACTGTGCAGGTAAGAATTTTATTTTTCCCCCGACAAAAAAAAAAAAAAAAACAAAATACCGTAGCCTTACCGAGGATTCGAACCCGGGTATCCTGCTTGAGAGCTTAGCGTTCTAATTGTAACTAACACGGGGATAATTATTGTCTGAATTAATGTTTTACAAGCACTTTATAACCGATTTTCCCGCACACACAGGAGCGTGTGCCAGTGTTCAAAAACATGTTCTCGGAGTTACAGCATTACCCGTGCTGTCAGCTGAAAGTAAACTGTCCCTTCCCTGCTCACTTGACACCGGTATGGAGATCTGGTGCATATCGTAACACACAATCTTGGATCCGATACCAAACGTAGATATTGTCTCAGTTACAAATTCAGTTATGTTTGATTAATTTTAATTACAGATTCCATAAAGTTTGGTTTGTTCCAGTTACAGATTCCGTATATAGAAGCTATTTATTCCTAATTAAACATTCAAGTTCTAAATTGTTTGATTTGTATCAATTATAAGTTGAAAAAATGTTTTGTTGGATCCATCTACAGATCCGGTAATATTTCGTCTGTCTGTCTGTCTGGACAGAGATTCAGTAATAGTTTGCTTGTTCAGTTGCACAATCAAGATTGTCTGGTTTGTGTCAGTTAGAGTTTATGAGTTTTTCGGTTGCTTTATTAATTTCCTACCCAAGATGACGTCAGGACAGTCTCACATTTTAGAGGGCAGAAAGACTAGTTTTCCCGGCTTTCTGATGCTTTTGACGACCCCTTAACATCTAGAACTGACCCTAACCCCAACCCACCTTCGTCCCTTGGGAGAGTGCAGCCTAGATCCCACGACTGCATGCAGCTTAGGTCTCACGACTGCATGCAGCCTATCTACCACCCCATGTAATGTTAGACTGTCCCGTGAGCTGTGGATTTCTCCTGTTTGGGGTAGGATATTATTAAAGCACCGTTTTTCGATTGTTTAAGGTACTATAATTTTAGACGATCCCAATCAAGGGAATTCCCAGACAGCAGAGTCCAGTTGACTATTCTTGAAATGTTATGACCAGTTTTGCCACTTTTCTTTGACATAAAACATCTAGAAATGGGTCACAACAAATCTAGAAATATCTAGATTTGCGTGGGAAAATCTAGAAAAAGCATCCAATGAAACAGTCACAAATTACATTTCTATTGATATGACTTACCCTATAGAAGCATGTCAGCATCTTCACTATTGTCTGTCTCACAAGATCCACGGGATAAACTTAGCTTGGATGATAAAGTTGAAGCTTCAGATCAAAAATGACTTTGGTATGCTTTAGCTATTCCAATTTTTTTTAAATACACAATCAGGGAGCTGATAAGTTGAACAGCATTTTCATACTCTCATCAAGTCATATTTTATTTTCAAGATAGCTTTAAAAAGTCAAGTTTCATCTTTTTTCATGGGTTAGATTTGAAATAACTCATAGCATAGATTTGTAACATGGTTTGGGCGTCGCAGATCGACCCAACCTTAAATGGGTACCACGATGTATGTCCTGGGGAAGTAAAGACGGCAGGCGTAATGATGACCACATTACCCACCTTGTGCAGACTGGTCTGAAAAAAATATGGGTGCTCTTTCCATATGTCCGATGCACCTAAAGGTGTGAAAAGGGATCTTTACTTTTCTTCCACCACACCATTATCAGTAGCCCCTAACAATTATTTCATAACTTTACACTATTTAGGTATGTAATTAACTGGCTGAAGTATGTTGCTCACAGAAAAGAGTGGAATATTTTTCCATACATCTAGATTTTCAGGAAGTCTCTGTTTCATTTGCTTGAAAAATGAGATAAGGTCATCTTGACAGCGCTTTCTTGAATTGTTCTCTTCATTTTTATTTTCTGTTAACAGTTCCTGGAACCAAAGTTTTATGCTTTTTAGTCTCTGTATGACTCTTTATTTCTTGTATTTTCGCTTTAATCTCAAGCTTGTAGTAATCAGAACGAGTCTTTGTCGTATCCCCAGGAACTGCTATCATCCAGTCTTTAATTATGTCATCATGCAGCCACTCTTTCCGAAATTTTTCCTCATACTGCTTTACTTTTGGCATGTTGAAAGGTTTTTCAAAGTGGAAGACATATATTAAGGTGAGCAATTATTTTTTTTTTTTGACATGACAAAAAAAAAGAACAACAAAGTCAGCATAACAGCTATAATTAACAAAACACTGAGGATACAGTTCAAACAAAGACAGTATGATTTACGCGCGTTGAGTCAGCACCGTGGCTGCCAGATTGTTGAGCGTAGACCCCAGTGAGTTCAAAGTTTAAGTAATCAGAGTTACCACAGTGTACGTTCCAGACCAAAACAAAAGAATGTGCAATAAATATTTCATACATTAATTATTAAACTCACACTGAAAGAAAAACAAAATCTATAATAAATTTAACTGGAAGTGAAAAATATCTAGAATTACATCTACCATCTAGACGTCAAAAACACCATCTAGATGCAAGGGAAACATCTAGATCTGGATTTAAAACATCCAAAGTGGCAACACTGGTTATGACATGAATTCGGTCTATGCTCACACAGAGTGCGGAAAGGTGAGCTTGTGCATCTGGTTTAAAACCCTGGGTGGGGGTAGGGGGGGGGGGGTGGGGGGTAGGGGGGGGGTGGGGGGGGGGGGGGGGGGGGGGGGCTGCGCACCTTCTGTCAAAACTGTGTGCGCTGCCAAAAGTGTGTGTGCTGCCACTTTCTGTGTGTGAGTGTTGTTGTCTCAACGAACACTGCAATCGTCAAGAAAGATGAGCATTGGGGATAATCAGTTAGGGCGGGTGAGTTGGGGGGGGGGGGTATAAAAAGAGCCATCTTGTGGGGTAAAAACGAACCGCCGCTGAGACCGACGACAGTCTCCACTTTTGTATTTTACATTCTTTTTTCTACTTATTTCTATAAGTGCCGATCTAAACATTTTCGGTTACTTTATTATTATATAATATTTGACGGTCTCAATGGTTTCCACCTCTGTTTATTTATGTTAAATCCACACATGTATACTGATTGTTAGGGTTAGGTTCTGGGAGAGGTTGACTGTGGGATGCGTCAGTCCGGGAACATTATCGAATTCATTGTATGCATGTTTGATATCTTCAATCAGATCTGGCTGGTGAGTAATTTTATTGAAACGAAACGTTTTTTGACAGACTCAACAGCTATATCCCTCCTCGGACTCCGATACCAAACTCGACAGACTACAACAAGATGGTTGTACATAGATCTGACGCCGAGGTCTACAACAGTGGGTATGTATCCAGTGATGGCTGGGAATAAATAGACTGATGGGTTGGACCAGTGATTCCCAAACTGTGCGCAGCGGCGCCCAGGGGAGCCACGACATCTTCACAGGGACGCTGCGAAAAATTCAAAGATATACGAGTTTTTTTTTTTTTTTTTTAAATCTTTCACATACGTATAGTCATACTTTTACTTAGGTTAGGGCGCCGCAGAAAAATTTTAATTGAAAAAAAAGGGAGCCGCGACTAAGAAAAGTTTGGGAAACACTGGGTTAGACGATGATGAAGACGCCAATGATGATGGTGGTAACGATGAAGATAAAGATGACGACGATCATAATGATTACGATGCCAGCAACGACAACGACGACAACGATGATGATGAGGACGACGACGAAGATGATAGTGATGTCGATGAAGATACAGATGACGATGGTCATGATGATAACGATGAAAACAACGATAATGACAATGATGATGATTAGGACGACGACTGCGATTTTGCTGGTGATGTCGATGAAGAAAAAGATGGCGACAATAATGATGATGATGATGATCCTGCCGATGAAAAAAAGTCGGCGATGGTGACGATGACGACGATGATGATGACGACGACGACGACGATGACGATGATGATGATGATGACGATGATGAAGGTGGGGACTATGACAAAGCTAATAATGACGAAATGATGATGACAGTTAACATTAGACATCTCAAGGATCGAAGGCAGCGCAGTGGTTAGCACATTTCCTACTGTCCCAAAGGTCATCCGTTTGACTCCCCACTTAGATGATGACAGAGACGCCGACACAAAAGAGGGGAAGCAGGTGTCCTTTCCTGCTTGTTGAAGTTGTCTGCTTTCACCCAGCTCAAAGCGACCACCTATAAAAGTTATAGAGTTAGCGGAGTACCCAGTTAAAGTTAATTTGCGTATCCATTACAGGATGTAGCAGTACCAAGGCCGTTATCTGTGTGCGTTTGTGTGTGTGTGTTTGTGTGGCTGTTTGTGACTTAACTGGGTAATTGTACGTTCAGTACGTTCGAAATCTCCCACAGTTGGAATCGAACCGGGTACAAGAGCGAATAGCCTTCGCAACGCCTACGCCACGGACGGCGACAAGGAAAAAAAACACAATTATGACACGTTGCAGACACTTTTAATTGTCTTGTCAGCCTGAGCCATCCAAGATCTGCCTTTCTTAAGTATATTAACCTTCACAGGATGCAGTTTGCCAGTGGGGATATGTTCTGTAACTTGCAACTCTTAAGACAGTACAAACTAAGTCATGAGCCCTTAAAACCGGTAAACGATAAGACGTGCCCAAACACAACCGAACCCTTCTTTCGCTGCCATTGAGTGTTCTAGATTAGTGTATGTTGTATTGTTACTTCTTCATACCAGACCGACTACAGACTCAACTTTTATCAATACTACAGAGAGTCCATAAAATAAAATCTTTTTTTTTCTTCTTCTTCTAACTCCCCCCCCCCCCCCCCCCCCCCCCCCCCCCTCTTCTTTCCAGCCAGTTGTTTTCTGATAATAAGACCGCCGGACTCTATGAAGTCTGTGGTGCGACGCCTATCTCCTACTGTTCCATGCACCTGGGTCTCCACTGGAATGCCAAACGGCCAAACTGGGATCTCTATATTGCATCTTAACTTAGAGAGTACATCTATAGCATATATTTGATACTCTGTAGTGCCTGTCCACATAAGAAAAGTTCCGAACCCCAGTTTTTAGCTGGATCGCTTGTGCCCAGCGTGAGGTCTAAATATAATGGTCGTTTTCTTTCGTGTGAGGAGACTGTGTCCTGGACTATATCCTGGATGGGAAGTGTTCTAATGGATTCTTAATAGTCGCCTCGACTATAGCCACATCATGATGTTTTAGAGTTTCTCTGATGTTATCTTTCCATCAGGTTCTTGGTCTAATTTGTGCTCTACGTCTTTATCCACGTTTGGTGTGTGTCTTTTGTAGTATGTCATTGCAAAGCATTCTCTATAAGTGGGGCTAACCACTTGATCTGCAGTCTTTATTTAATTTAGAATTGGTTATGTACCGACTCTTTTCTCTTATGTCCTTTATTTTTATTTGATCTCTTTCGGTCATTCCTGCATCTTAGACACATAATTTATGTGGTTAATACATTTTTCAACTGTTTGTTGTGAGTGACCATGTCTGGCACAGGTAGCATAGCATGGGAAAATGCTTTTTAAGAGATGTTTCTTGTTGCTGATTGAAATTGTCTTATGATCAAAAATAAAAGGTGGAAAAAGGGGCTGAGGAAGGGGGGACGGGGTGGGTGCTAGCGAACAAAGGGGAAAACACGCAAATATAGAGCAACGACACAAAAAACAGCGATAGAGAAATAAAGAACAACTTGAACGGTGCATTAAAAAAGAGAACTTAAAAGGTTCTAACAGTTTCTCTAAGAGAAATGCGTTCAGGCAAGTAGAGGAAGAGAAACGGACGCTGCAGTGAATCTGTACAGCATGTAACCATAAATGGAAGTCGAATTAATTGTTGGAGCTTCTGTACAATGCCCTAAACTCTGTGCTGCCGACAAGGTAAGAGATTCAATGTGTCTCCAATTGTATATTTTATGGTCTGCCTTTGTTAAGCAAAGGTTATTGGGGTGAAACCATACCAAGACCGTCAGAAGCCAGTTGAAAACTACCACTGTATTTTATCTATGTTTCTTAACAAATCACGCAGTGAGAACATTCTGAAAATTAAAGACGTGTCAAGCAAAATATAGTGTCCTGTTTTCTCCAGCCCATCAGTGAAACCTTCAAGGCAGGAAACGTTGTTGAAACAGAGTCAGCTCCCTCATTCCAGGTCAGTGCAACTTTAGGCCTTTTCTGTCCCGCCAACGCACACACCCCCCCCCCCCCCCCACCGTGATCAGGGTATTATTTAAACAATCATGTGTTGTTTCTTGCTGTTATTATTGGTTTAAGAATACTAAAATATCTGACTGCACATTTTGATTTTTTTTATATCCTACCCCAGATGACGTCACAATACAGGGCTGTAAGACTGGTTTTCCTGGCTTTCAGATGCTTGTAACGACCCCAAAACATCTAGAACTGACCCTAATTACAACCCACATACGACCCAAGAGAGAGTGCAGCCTAGGTCCCACGAAAGCATGCAACCTATCTATCACCCCTTGAAATGTTAGATTGTCCCGCTACCTGTGGATTTTCCCTGTTTGGGGTAGGATATTATGAAAGCACCGACATTTTAATATGCAGCACCGAGAATGACAGGCTTTAGTTCAAATCCTCAATGAAATGGATGTTTCTTATTAACTGGGTATCATGTAATGTCCTAGGGAAATAAAAGCGATAAGGCATGTTCAATAGCCTGATTACTTTGTTTTATCAGTATTTGTGAATTATTGTCCTTAGCTTGTATGTTGATTACTTCCCCTATAAAATACTGGCTGATCGCTTTTAATACGGGTCTAGCCTCCCATGCACCCGTGAAGCCGGTACAGGTTTTCTACTTTCATTTTTTTTTTAAATTACAGAAAATGTTTTCATCTTAGAACATGCTTCTTTCTTTGTAGTTATTTTGTAGCACTAGTATCACTACTTAACATCCTTGTCTGTTGATGAATCAAAAAATCAATCAATCTGTCAATCGATCAATCGATATAGAATGACATCACAAAGCTGGAGACATTACTATACTAGCTCCGCCCCTACCTCAGTAGCAAACGAAAAGCTCCAATAATGATGGTACTAGTTGCAGGCTGATTACAAGTCCTCCTGTCTTATTCCTGGACGTTAAAATCTCACCCGGACCAGACAGCAGAACACCCCCCCCCCCACACACACACACACACACACATATTCAAACACATGGGGACAGTTTAATTTAATAAGATTTAAAATTGTGTACATTTTTGTGTTGGAGCTGCCATGGTCTAGGTGCAGTCCTGTTAAGTAAAGGCGGCATGCGTGATGCTGACGATAGCACCCAATAAGTGCCGTTTGGTCTATTAAATATACGTTTTGTCCTATGTATGTAATGAAAGGCATGGAAAAGGGTCCTTTACTTTTACTTTACTTACTTTTTTCTCTGTTTTGGTACCTTTAAAAAAATGTGGTACTACTCCGCAAACAGTTTCGACAGCCCTGATAACAAGATAATGACGACGATGACAGGAACAGATATTTATGTGACGTAACATTTTTTTTTTTTTTTTGGTTCCAGCATAGAAGATGACTGTCCGAAAACAGTAGAGACACAAACAGACTACAGAGACTCCGAGGCTCAGACTGATCCATTCTCTCCCCTGTATGTTGTCCCAACTGGCGACGCTCCGGAGCTGATCAGCCTTGCAACGTTATCATGGGGTAAATCAGTACATTACGTACGTTATTCTTCTTGAGAGCTTACTGGCCTATATAAGGAAGTTAACTCTCGTCCTGAGCATAAGGCCCACCCAAACAGGTGTATGTGTATGTGTAGACTTGTGTTAGCTGCGTATCCCTTAGAGAATGTTGCAGAAACAACCCCAGCATTTTGTTGTTGTTGTTGCTGTTGTGGGTTTTCTAGGCACATTTTACATTCAGTAGTTTGTCATTGCTTTCTAAACGGCTAGCTGTCGGTACCCCTGTCGACACCAACGCAAGACAAACCGTCCGCGGCTAGGGTCGAACCCGGCTACCCAGCATTACAAAGTGCTTTCTCAACACCTACACCACAGACGTCGGCGTGTGTACAGTACAGCTTAGATTAACCGTCACCACCCTGACCATGGCTGTCGACAGACATTTCATTACATAGAACTGCTCACGTTTCCAGTCTCATCTGTGTCAGCTCCGCACACCTACACACGTATGACTGACGCAGTCCCGGAAACTTGGGAAGTATTCATTATATATATATATATATATATATATATATATATATATATATATATATATATATATATATATATATATATATGCATTTACACTTGTTGCATACCTCTATGTCTGCATCAGTAGAGAAAGAAGATTATTATTGTCTAGAGAGAATGAGGCACCTAAGTGTAACCAGAAGGTCTGGCTGGCTCATTACACTTTGAGGAAAGGCAAGACAGACATATGACCAGATTGTGACCGGTACTATCAGTGTTGGGCTTCTGCTCTGGCTGCTAAAGATGAGGACGGAGCATGCATGGGAATGCCCTGAGTGATGCGATGTCAATTCTTGACTCAACTCAACTCTATGTCTTCATGCGTGCAGATGTGCGTGCTTGCAGTATAGACAATGAAAAGATTCCGCAGCTGACATACCGCTTGTTGCCTACCTGCCTCCAAGGGAAAGGATTACCGGCTGGCCTAGCTGAGGTACAGATGATTGGCCGCTTACGGGGAAAGAGAGCCTGGGAAGCGATTCTCAGGGGAGTCAAGAATAGCTCTGAGATGAAGGAGAGGCGCAGAGTGATGATCATGATTGAAGCAAACGAGTGGCTGACCAGGGAACAGCAGATTGAAAGGTACGTTTCTTGACACAGTTCTGATGTTGATTTTCTGAAATCTTCTTCTTCTTCTTCTACGCTTTCATCGGTTATAAACTCTGGTGAAAAGTTATGGTTGTTCGTCCACTTCTAGATTTTAGTCTTGTTCCACAACTTAAGCTTTCAATGCACATCTGTTTTACAGTTCTAGGCTTGTGTGTATGCACATTGTTTTTCATCGCTTCTCTGACAGATGCACTTTGAAGGAAACAGACCTTTAGATGACCTTTACGACATGCTTGTTAGAGAGGCAGTGGGTCTATTTCTCCGCCCCTCCCCTCCCGCTCAAAATCGGCACTGGAAACCACATGGAAGAAACGAGTGGTGGGGGGGGGGAGGGGGGGATTTAACAAAATAATTAATCGTTATTGTTCTGTGGCTATGAGGTTAGTGAAAAACTAGGGGCGTATTCTTTATATGACGTTGCCGAACCAGCCTCAGCATATTTGGGCTGTTGTGGTTTTTCTAGGCAAGTTTCATGTTCAGTAGTTTTCTATTGCCAGTGAACGGTCGACTCTCGGAACCAATGTCAAAACCAACGCAAGAAAAAATCGTCCGCATCGGGGATAGAATCCGGGCATCTCGGTATCCCGGCATTATGAAGCGTGTTTGTTCGAAATGCTTAAGCCACTAGCACCCACAGTTAGTGAACGCGTTTGATAATTTCATGATTCTCGAGAACTGAGGTTCATTTCTGGTGGTGCACCCTTGGTTGACAGCTTATTAAAACAACAAATACCGCTCGCGTGGTTTCTAGATGTGGTACGAGATTCACACCTGGAGGAGATTAGGAGCCTCGCCACGAACTGTTCCCAGATACGGCAATGGGCAAATGTAACCAACCTTCACTGTGAGGACTGCACATAATTCATGTTTATAATCTGATATTATTAAAGTGTACCGGTGTTCTGGAACTTAATCCGTGCCTAAAAATTGTTCGCATCCTAACTGCTCGAAAACGGAAAACAATTCTACCCGTAAAAATTAACGTAAAAGGATTAATTCGTTTCTTAATTTCAGATTATTGCATCACATATTTGAAACATTTTATCAGAATTTATAAATAAAGCTTTGTTGCTTCATCCTCTTTAGCTAACGAGAAAAGGGGGAAAAAAACAAATAATAAGATGAGGACATAAATGTGGTTAGGACCATAATTAGTTCGCTGCTGAACTGCAAAAACAGGAAAAGTAAAGAAAAGACAAGGGTTCTTTTGTGCATGGACCATGAAATATTGTGTTTATAACCCGGGCAGTGGATATGTGAAAAGCTGAGTTAAACAACAATAACATATGACTATATAGGCAACGCCGAGACAGACCACTTACACGAACTACAAGCTCTATTCTGGATCAGACAAACTGAACATAATCATCACATTTAGCTTATGTTTATTTTCCTGAACAAAAACCTACCGTTCTTCATATATAACAATGCATTAACAATCTACGACATGACATATTCGAACTAACCGTGCGCAAATCACTTCAACTAACAAGGAAATGGGATAATGATAGCATAAGTTCAGAGTAAGAAATTACATAAATAATGTCAAAAATCATCGAAACATCTTGTAAGCATGAGCGTTTTATGTCCCAAAATACCAAGTGATCAGTAAATCACTTCCAACGACCTGCAATCAAACTCCGAGCGAGGATACACATGGATATCTAGATCTAACACAATCAGACTACAGATGGAAATTCAGATCTTACATATTTTAACTACAGAAACGTACTAGGGCCATGAAGTCAATGGGCCAAACCATCTCTCCACATTAAATATCTCCACTCATGTCGCGCTTAGACCATTTGCGGTCCCGTGACGAATGGTGAAAACTTCGTTTTATTGGTCGCACCACCTCAAACCCACAAACCAAATAGCCAAAAGAGCGAAATCTTCTGCTGCTTGTGCCTTTTGTAGCCATCGTGACTTTTTTCCCGGAGAGCTCTGATTTTTTTACTCTTGCCAGTATTAGTTTGGTAGTAGCCCTTCAGTTCCCTCTAAAAAAAACTGAAGTTGAAGTGGTACCCAAATGGACTGACGCCCCCCCCCCCACTCCAATTCCAGCGCCCCTTCTTGTAACCTTCTATGTTCTTCTATAAACAGGCTACAGGAAGCGAGGCTCAAGGTCACGAAGAGACTGCTGTTACAGAGAGAAGAGTTCCACCAGAAGAAAATTATGAAGAAACTGGACAAGATTTGGTAAAAGTCGTTTTGTTTGTTGAAACATTCTCCATGTCAAAGGATCTTCTTCGTGAAACATACTGCGTTTAAAGTAACCATTGGTAATTTAATTTTATACCACCAGATCTCGCCGGCTTTGGGATTTCTATGGGAATTCCTATGGATCCCTAAGGGTTTCCCTGGACAGTACCATATTATGGGGAGGGGGTGGGGTGTTAGAGTTAGCGTTAAATTAATAGCGACTTCTGCTTAGCCTAACCCCCCCCCCCCCCCCCCCCCCCTTTTCCCAGCTCCCCACACACTATAGGACGTTCTGAGGATTTCCTTCCTATCAAATCTCGAAGCCGACGTGATGCGGACGTATATAATTAAGGTCAAACGTATTGTGTGCTAAGTGATTCTCTTATTGGTGCGGTATCCTAAATGTTGAAAAAAAAAAAAAAAAAAAAAATATTCGTGCAAGCAGTACCGTCTGGTAGATTTTCTCAGGTATGATGCAAGTCTTCGAAACGCCGCACCAAATAGAATCGCGTCGTCAGATCAAGAGGTCAAAGTGTATTTGATTTCACTACTTATGCTGGACTGTCCGGTGACGTCATTTGTCATCATCATCATCATAAACCACTCCTGCCGTTAAGCTCCGTGCGGAGGAATAATTTGCGATCAAGTGAACGTTGACTGCCACTGGCTATTATGAAGGCGTAGAGTGTCTTTGATGTTGTCGATCCATTTTTTTCCGCGGCCGTTCTATTCCTCTTGTAGCTGATTTTCTGAGATGTAGTAAGTAAAAAGTAAAGTACCCTCTTCCAAGCCGTTAGGCGGATAAAAAATATAGGGCTAGACATATATTTTTATAGACCAATCGGCACACGATGGGTGATGTGGTCAGCATCACGCCGGCCGCCTTTAATTGCCTGGAGTGCACCCGGTACCCACTTAAGGCTGGGTCGACCTGGGAGCCAAGGTCATTTTTTGAAAAGTCAAGCTCTGCCAGGGAGCGAACCCACAACCTTCCGATCCGCGGCGAGCGTCTAGCCGCTCCGTCGCGGCGACTCCCTGAGATGTAGTGCTTGTGATGTCATTTAATCTTGCTGCATTCTAAAGAGACGGCCAAACCACTTGATCTGCTGTTTCTCGATGAATTTGGTACAAGGTGTCGTGCAAACACATTAGCCTGATTGTTTCATTATTCACTCGATCTCGGATGGTTATGCTGGCTTCTTTTCTCAGGCACCTCATCTCGTAGTTTGTGATTTTACGTATATGGGCTTTAGAGTGTGTCCATGTTTGGGACTGGTAGCTTAATGTTGAAATGTATTTTTAAAAAAAGTAAAGAACCCTTTTCCAGGCAATTGGGCGTTTAGGGCATATAGGGCTAGACATATATTTTTATAGACAAATCGGCACACGATGGGTGATGTGGTCAGCATCACGCCGGCCGCCTCTACTTCCCGGGACTGCACCCGGTACCCACTCAAGGCTGGGTCGACCTGGGAGCCAAGGTAATTTAATGTTGGAATAAATATGCAATTAATAATCTGTCTCTTTGCACTCATAGTTATGCTTGGATGTCTTAATAATGGTGACATAATGGCATCATTTATGGTCGCTTAAAAAAAAAAAGCGCTGCATAAGTATAAAACGACAAACGACACTCGTTCCGTGTTGATTATTGAAACGTTTAGTGATTCCCTGTCCGCCTCGCCTCACAACGTACTCAGTATAATTGCCGCCTGCTTTGTCTTTAAACGGTGATATTGATGGTTGTCTAAGCATTTCTCTTTTTTCTGAGACTTTCTAGAATGTATCCAATTTAATGTTCATCAATTTCCTTGCGGACATTGCAAGTCTTCTTGAACTGTTTTCGTTGCAGGGCTGTCAAACAGAAGGAAAAGGAAAGTGCCCTAAAGAAGATCAGGAGGGAACATGTGAGCGGTGAGTGTTGAGTTTCACAGCTCTACATTTTCGTACAAGAAGTTTGAGCAGGGTTGACATTTACCATAAGGAAATTACATGTAAGCACGGGAAAAAGCGGGGGGGGGGGGGGGAGGTCGGGGGGGAATGGCGGGTTGGACGCTTAAGAAAAAAAAAAAATCTGGGGTACCCAGAATGGAAGGTGGAGAAGCCCTGTTATACATTTTCCTCAACGGTGGGGACTCAAAGAGCTTAAGCCGTCTTTTAATTATAATAATAAATACAACAATTCGGTAATGTGCTGTTTAGTAAAATTCACACATAAATCATTTGTTTGTTGTTTGAGTATCCAGAAGCCATGAGTTGTTAAACCCTTAGGCTCGGTATTTTGGATATCGCAACCTTCCGGCCTTGATTCCATTGTAAATACCGTAAATCTGGGAGAAAATGTGGCTTTCCTGCCTACCCCCGGGATTAAACCCGGACCACAAGGAGTTCTTCCCCCGGTCTCCGCGCAATCCGGTTTAGCCAACTACGCTAGAGAGCCGGGTACATAAATCATTTTTTAAAAACATACACATAAATACAGAAAATTAGAAATTCTTTACATTACTAGAGAAGCCGCCTGGACCTTACACATTTTTTTCAGTGGGACTTGGGAGCTGCGTGATCTCGAGGTATGGTGTCCATCTCGTGTGTTAGAGGTACCAGGTGTAGGCCCCGGTGAGGGTTGGGATTTTTTCCACCTAACTTCTAGTAATTTCCCTTGGTCTCTGGGTAGTGAGATCGGACGCCAGTGTGATTTGTTGCTCACGTAAAAAAAGCCTTTGGCAGTTGGAAATAGAAAAGAGTAGCCTAACGGCACTGTCCAGGCAATATTTGGAGGTAAAAATCTACCCAAAAGTAAATCAGGATCCTTGCCGGTACGGATCCCGTGCACTACGCTAAGCTTCTTCTGACTCAGACTTCAGTAAAAAGAAGAACGGAGCACTTATGGGATACTAACCATGTGCCATGATGTTGATCCGTTGTTCAAACTTCAAACTAAAACTTAGTGGGACTTACTTCCCACTTACACCCCCCCCCCCCCTTCCTCCCCACATTCCAGCATTTTTCCTTTGGGAAGCGTAAAGTGTATGAAATCCATGATTTCGGCCCAACCGCTATTCGGGAAGGCAATAATGATGATGATGGCGTAGCCCTATAGATGACATAATATATTTTATACTAGATGGACATGCCCTTAACCGAGTTCCTATTTTCAAATTGTTATCAATTGTAGTAGGGTCAAATCGACGAGGACACACATACAGCTTTATCATGTCTTCCTAGAAACAAAGATAGAATTTGAACAAAAAAGACACAAACAATAGATTGCACAATGTATTGCCTGGCATATTTTGCTGTACCTCGCAAGGTGCATACTACAGTAACAATTAAATAAAATGAAGCAAATAAATGAAACCTTCAAACTGAAACACAAAATCGACTACATTCACACATTGACTGTTTCATCTAAGTAACCTCAAAGTAAAGAGCGTTTCCTTCTGTCGGTATAATTCTGGATTAAACTGGCTGATTTCTGACGTTTTTGCGTATCGCAGTAATCTACGGTTTACTAAAGTGTAAATAATTTAAAATGAATCGTCCTTGTTTGCCACTACAATTGTACAATCTATTGTTTGTGTCTTCTTTGTTCAAGTTAATTCACAGCGGGAAAACATTGCTTTGGTAGACAGAATTGGCGTTTCATTTAAACTCGAAGTGCATTTGCCTGAGAAGCAAGAAACCACCAGTCTACCTAAATCAGTGAAAGGAATATGAGCCAGAAACTCAAGTACGGAAACAAAACAGCCTAGAAGGAGACGACCAAGCAAGGCTAAGTTTACAGCCGGTAAATAAAAAACGAAAACAACACAGCATGCGATCATAGCATCAAGTCAAAGAAATGTGTTCACTGTAAGCAAGAAAATATTGTTATTGCTTGGAGATCTAAGTGTCGGTTCAGAGGCCCATAGAGGAAAAAAAAGGGTTGGGGCGGGGGGGGGGGGGGTGGGAATTATTGCACTCATTTTCCGAAGTATGTAAGCCTATGCGGCCATTACTCGCCATCTCATACGATCACCAGAATCATGGATAAGTTTAGTGTTCTTGTCTCCTCCCTTCCAGCCTCTACGGCCAAGCCATCCAGATATATATATCTCTTTGCCTACCTCTTGCTAATGTCTCATCAATCTGGGCAGGCGTTACCAATTTTTGGAGTCTTATTTTTTTCTCACAAAGTTAGTTGCGTACCCTTTACAAGACGTTGCAGAACCAACCCAAGTATTCTTTGGCTGTTGTGGTTTTTCAAGGCAAATTTGACGTACAGTAGTTTGCCATTGCTTTGTTAACGGACAGCTTACGGTACCGTTGTCGAATCCAACGCAAGACAAATCGGCCGCAGATAGGATCGAACCCGGCACTCTGGTATTACTAAGCGCGTTAAAACGCCTAAACCACAGACACCGACTTTTAACACGTCCTTAAAACACCGGCTGTCTGCGTGTAAGTTTTCGTCTGTTTCGACGAGGACTGACTTGTTTATTTGGTTTTCTGTCATTCCATGCAATTATTAGTCTGATTACACTGTTTTCTTACCATTTATATCACAAAGTGTCTTGAGAAATGTGGATACAGGCGTGCTGCATGTAAAGTGCGAACATCGCTTTAGAGATCCCGGGTAGTTAGAGTCCTTTGGTTTTTTCTCAAGGTCATACATGTGTGTTAGGAAATGAACAGGCAGACTGACTGACCCGTTTTTGTACCACTAGATGTTGCGAGGGCTTTTTGGGAGCGAGTGACCATTGAGCAGGCACAAACAGATAATTACGGTTTTAGAAGAATGGCTCTGGGAGTTACCAGGGGATCTGGCCGACTTTCAACATTCAAGGGAAAGGCTAGGCGTATGAGCAATCAGACAGTTACTGGTATCATCGGAACTGGAACTCTTCGCTTGCTGCTGAAGATGGAGACGGAGCACTTATGGGAGTGTCCCGAGTGTTGTAGTGTTGATTCTTAATTCAACATTCCACATTCAGTATTCAACATAAATTTTGTTGATCAAAACCCAGAGATACGCAGAATACTACGACACCGAGCTCCTGTTCCGAGGACGTCCTTCAAAAGAAACATAGCCAAAGAATATGCTGATCCTAGTTCCCAGGTCTACGCTCCCATGACTAGGCTGGGCCGTTTCATGGACCGTAACTCGCAGCTGTACGTGGTTACTTCAAAACATCTATCAACATATGAGGTACAGTATGTTCGCATTTCTGTCAACATACAAGATAACTGTCAACATACAAGATAACTGTATTGTTGGGTTTCTCCGTCAACATACAAGATAACTGTATTGTTGGGTTTCTCTGTCAACATACAAGAAAACTGTATTGTTGGGTTTCTCCGTCAACATACAAGATAACTGTATTGTTGGGTTTCTCTGTCAACATACGAAGTAGCGCATTTAAGTCTTTTTGTCAACTTACGAGGTGCTGTTAACGTTATTTTTCTGTTAACATAAAAGGTACTGCCTCGTTAGTCTTTCTGTCAACGTACGAGACTGTTTCGTTAGTCCTTGTCACAATATGCGAGTTACTGTCATGTAAGTATTTTTGCCACTGTTAGTGCTTCTGTTAACATAGGAGGTTTTGTTTGTTAGCCCTGATTTCGACCTACAAAGTATCTTCTCCACAAATCTCTCAGCCTACTTGGTACTATCCTGTCACTCCTACTGCCTGCCTGACTAGTACTGTTTTTTTCCATAGATCCAGATAGCCGATTAGATACCCTCTTGTTTACACAACTAAACATATGGTAACATACGAGGTACTGTCTTGATAACAGTTCTATCAAAGTACCTAATAATGTCTTGTCCACGCATCAATCCCTCATCCATACAAACTTAGTACTAAATGGATACAACGATAAATATAAGGAGGGTGGTTAACAAAAACAAAGAAAAACACGAACACACACACACACACACACACACACACACACAAAACCCGAAAGAAAGCCTTTATTTCAATTTTTTTTTAAAGTTGTATTGGGGAAGGGGGGGGGGGGGGGGTGATTCTATACCAGAAAAAAAATATTTAAAATGAAAAAACGTCGACGGCAAAGAACTGGAAAAACTGGCTTTGAAAAACGAAATACTCCAAACAGGACAGACACCTGCTTTTGTGTCCTTCTTCTCTTTCTTGCTTACTTTTATTATTTATTTTTAAAATGCTAAATGAATTCAAATAATGGCGACAACATTGTCTCATTCATATGTATATTTCGCTTTTCACAAATGACACAGTTCGCCGCATTTCACTCATCACTCAAATCAATCACTCAGGTGTCGTCTCCATAGTGAAGGTTGGCTGCTATAGATCTCCAACACGCTTTGTTTGTTGTCTTGGTTGTACACTCTCTCAGACAACTGCCTGTCCATCTCTTGATGTTGTCATCCCACTTGTATCTTTGCCTGCTCCTTGCTCTCTTGTCTTCGACCTTTCCCTCCGGTATGGTTTTTAAAAGCGTAAAATACAATGTTTCGTAAAAAGACCCAGATCTATAGACCAGTCCTGAAGGCTACTACAGGGATTGGTTAAAACGGAAGAGGAGAAGAGGCAGACCAAGAAATACAGATTTTGGATGAATGAGTGGGCCTCAAAAAGACTAACATCAAATCCATTGCATCTGACCTACAGCGGGGGGGGGGGGGGGGGGGGGGACAAATCAGGCCGTGAAAATCAACCGTTGAGCCAGCGAGCCGCGGTATTATAGGTTTAAGATGACAGTGATGGTAATGATAATGATGCCAATGATGATGACGCTGAAAATATTTCGCTGGATCCTGCGAAGTAAAGACAGTGGCGTGTAATTCACTACCTTGTCCATCGAGCACTGAGTGGGTAGTCTATACATACGAATGAACATCATTTCCCGCACGGTCACAAACTTGGCTCGCAGGTCGGCGTTACATTCCACCCTTTCACACACTTAACTTTCACATAGCGATTGAATATATATATCATGTTATTTGATATATCAAAACTCATAGAAGGAATATAAAGGAAAATTACCGAATCGTGAATGGCAAATGCATACCTTTACCTGCACATACGAAAACATACACGATGCAGAAACACACACACGCGCGCGCGCGCGCACACACACACACACACACACACACACACTGAGACGTATACACTGACAAGAAACACAGGCACACACAAAATACTCATAGTTACAACAGTCGCACCGACGTAACACAAACACAGACACACACACATAAACACACACATACACACAGGTAGAAATTCACAGAAACTACACACACAAGGTACACGCGCAGACACAGTACACATACACAACATATGTACATAAACAACACATGCACAGACACAACACAGTGTCACACAGTCACAAATACAGACCCCCAAAAATTTCACAAATACATATAAAACTAGCATCATATCTACAGTAGCTCTACAGGCATAGGCATTATTCTTTGACTTGACTGAGCCCATGTACACACTGACTGTGTCGTCTGGGGTTGCTAGACAAAGAGGCATCCGTGCAGTCTTTGACTTGACTGAGCTTACGTACAGTCAAATTGAGTGTGTAGTCTGGTGATGCTAGATATGGAGGCATCCTTGTAATCTATGACTTGACTGAGCTCATGTACAGACAAACTGATCGTGTTCTCAGGGGGTTGTCATACATGTAGGCATCATTGCAACCTTTTACTTGACTGAGCTCATGTACAGGCAACTGACTTGCAATCTTTGACCAGACTGAGCTCTGTACAGGTAAACTGATTGTGTCGTCAGGGACTGTAGACCTGAAGGCATACTTGTAATCTTTGACTAACTGAATTTCAATCTGTGACTTGACAGAGCTCACGTACAGACAAATTGACTTACAATCTTTGAATTGACTGAGCTCTTTTACAGACAGACTGACTTAGAATCTTTGAGTTGACTGAGCTTATGTACAGACAAACTGACTTGCAGTCTTTGATCCGACTGAGCTCATGTACAGACAAACTGACTTCGAATCTTTGACTTATCTGAGCTCACATACTGAGTGTGTTTTCAGGTTTTCTAGATCTGGAGGCATCCTTGAAAACTTTGAACTTGACTGAGCTCATGTACAGACAAACTGGCTTACAATCTTTGACTTGACTGAGCTAACGTACAGACTAACCGACTTGCAATCTGTGACTTCACTAAACTCACATACAGTCAAACTGATTTGCAATCTTTGAATTGACTGTACTCTTATACAGACAAACTTACTTGGAATCTTTGAGACAAATTGGCTTACAGTCTTTGATCCGACTTGCAGTCATTGAATGACTTGGAATCTTTGACTTATTTTTATGTTGTCATTGGTTGCTAGATCTGGAGGCATCCTTGCAAACTTTGACTTGACTGAGCTCACGTACAGACAAACTGGCTTATAATCTTTGTCCTGACTGAGATCATGTACAGACAAACTCAATTGCAATCATTGACTTGACTGATCTCAAGTACAAATTGAGTGTGTTGTCAGGGGCTGCTCGATCTGGAGGCATCCTTGCCTGATTTTGTTCTCAAGCCTCGGGTGACGATACCGCCTCCTCCCCGGAGCATGCGCAGATCACGGATTCATGTTAGGCCATGCACGAGTAATGTAACTTTTGAAGAAAGTACCGAGGTAAATAGAAACAGATGTTTCTCTTAGATTTTGCTGTTGTCTTTTTCTAGAATAGTCGTTCCCATTAAAATGTCAATTTCAGCAACTATTGTGCAAGTATTTGCTGCTCTCGGTTAAATCAGCTGGCTCCAGCAGGCATTCGTTTACAGAGTTTGTCGTTCCGGTGAATGCAGTCCTTTTTGCGATCCACCTTCTTCTTTGCGTTCACCGGCTATGAACTACGGCAGAAATTCTGATTGTTTGTCCGCTTCTGGGCCTTAGTCTTATTCCAGAACCCGAGTGTTGCGTGTACATCCGTTTTACATATCTCACTTATTCATATGCAGACTATTGATTCCTTGTCTATCAAGCAAATGCATTCTTAATTCGAAGGAAGACCCCAATGTGTCGACACTTATGACATGCTTTTTGGAGAGGCAATGGATCTATTCAGGTTTTCCTCCACAACGGGTCCCGGAAACTTACATCGGAATTTTGTGATTATAATGTTTATCAATTATAATAAGTTCTTTAAATAACTACGTGTGAAATGCGATGTATCTGAAGAGTCACCAACAATACACGAAGAGACAGAGTCACAAACGTCCGCATTAGAGACAAAGTTGGAACAAGAGCATGCATGAAACATATTGAAAGACAGAGAATGAAGTGGTTTGGCCACTTAATAAGAATGTAACCGGATCAGATTGCCTATAAGGCCTTTTACAGTAGAACATCGGAAAGAAAGGCCAGAGGAAGACCCAGGAAAAAATGGATAGATAGAGTAGCTGAATACGGCCAGAAGATCCAGAAAACTGTCACTCAAATCACGCGAGAGGCACAAAACAAATATTTTAAACCACGACACTGGGCTGCAACCCGGTAAAAGTGAAGAAGACAATAGATAGATAGAATAAGTTCTTTAGTAGGATTGTCAACATTTATGGGATTGGAGGCAGCTCATCGAAAATAAAGGAGGGTCCCCTGGTCCTAACTATTTGGGAAACACTGTTCTAGAACATTCATTGAATGGAACAAGTTCAAGGACATGTTATGTTGTGTGGCACTTGGTTGTTGTTTACTAGCTGATTATTTCAAAAGGCATTCTGACCGTCTACCCAACTATTTGTGCCTTTAACTAGCTGTGTTTTCTAAAGTCACCCCCTATACAGCTTACCAAGGACATCAGCGAAAGACGTGAAGACTTGTACATTCGGTTGATGTGGTTGGTCTAAATAATCTTGACAAAACAATTTAGTAAGATGGCCGACAAGCTGGTCATTAGGTCACCCTGTGTTTTGTAAAAGCAGCCCTCTGTTTCGAAAAAGTCTTCCCGTGTTTTGTAAAAGTTTCTCTGTATTCTCGAAAAGTCACCATTTGTCCGATTTGTCAAGAACAGCTAATGAGAGACTTGTTACATGCACATAGTGACTCAATGTGTCCCAAAGAAGAAATGTATAGTGTGACTTGAGGTATCCCATGAAAGGTAGTCAGCCTACCAACGAGCTTCAGTGAACAACTTGCGAACTACATTTCGTGACAGGGTATTCCAAATTAGAAAGACTAGGGACTTGAGGTTCTCCAAGGACAGTTAGGACTTACCAAGAAACATCAGTAAATGCACGACTTAAAGTATCCAACAATATTGGACGATTTACTGAAGAGCGTTAGCGACCAACTTGGTAAGACCAGTAGACGATCTGAGAAGTACATTAAGCGACTTGACTTAGATGTCCTAAAAGAACAAGACATCGAGTGAAACGGCATCCTAATGATAGTGGCCCTCTTACCAAAGAACTTCAGTGACCAACTTGCTAAGACCCGTGAAAGACTTTGAATTTCCTTGAGCTCTTTAATGTGTCCCACAGGAGCAGGCCATCAAGCAATGCCCACCAATGAGAGTTAATGACTTATCAGAAAACATCACTGAACGATTTCATGAGTGACCAGTGAAATACTTGAGCCTTCCCTTGAGTGACTCAATGTATCCTAAATGAGAAATACATCGAGCGACTTAAAGTGTCCCATGGATAGTGGCAAACTTACCAAAGAACTTCAGTAGTCAACACTGGTGAACAGCTTGAGAAACATATTGCATGACTGAAGTCACAGAGGAGAAAATCATTGAGTGACTTCAGGTGTCCCAGGAATAGTGGGCGATTCACCAAAGAACCTTAGTGTCCGACTTGTCAAGATCATTGATTTATTTAAGGATTGCATTGAGTAGCTCAGCGTGTCCCCCCCCCCCCCCCCCCCCCCCCCCCCCCCCCCCCCCCCCAAAAAAAAAAAAAAAAAAAAAAACCATTGAGCCACTTAAGGTGTACCAATTAGAGTGAAATCCTTATCAACGAACTTCAGTGAAAACAGTATTTGAAAGAAAAAGCAAGCTGTGCGGTGTCTCAAGGATAGTGGTCGACTTAGCAAGAAACTTCAGTGAACGATTTGCCAAGACTAGTGACCAACTTGAGAAGTACATCTAGTGACCTAATGTGTACCATGGCTAATCGTCGACTGACCAAATCAAAAGATTGCAAGGATATCTAAAGTCTAGCTGATATTACAATCAGTTTGTCTGTACATAAGATCACCTAACATTGCGACATGACACCAGCCCCTTTTGCCATAATTTTCCATTTCGTCCTCTGCAATGACATAACGCAGTATGTCATGCCCCGTAAACCCCTCATATAACAAGCTGACATGACTCATTTACCCTGTTACTGAGCACTCACGCCTAAAATTGTGGCTTACCACTGGCCCCTTTTGCGTGATCTTTTCGTTTTCCCTTCTAAGTAAAATCTTATCTTCATATACAGTGACCTTCAATGATCCCTAAATATTCTCATGTAACCACACAACAACAAGATTGTGACAGTCGTCCTGTAAGGGCCGTGTTTTAGGACGCTCAGTATGCGGGACTGTTTGTTTCGCAGCGGTGTGTCTGTGGACTGACTTGGTACTAACACAGATGAACAGTGCAACAGCTAGCGAATAGCCAATTAAACAGGAACCAGACCCCTCAGATCCAGAACTTAGGCAACAAATGAACAAACTCAGGTGGAATTGCTCACCACAAAGGAAGATAAATAAAATAAGATAGCAAAGGAACCGTCCTTGAAAAAGCAGGCCATCAGGCGGCTAAAAAAGGACTAAGCTTAGAATTTTTGTTTGATTTTATACGATACGATACGATACGATAAAGAGTTTGAATGGGGAGATTATTGCAAAAGAGCAGGGATAGATTGGTGGAACATTTTCTGGAGCTGTACTTAGCTGAGACCAAACTAACAGACGATGCTCCTAATCCCATAAAGACTCTACCAACTCTTGACTATTTGGTCACATTTCTATCTATTGTAGACGTTAGAAATGCTATTGATGAACTGGGATCAGGGAAGGCCCCGGGCAAAAATTGAATTCCAATTGAGATAACCAGGAGGGGGAGAGGAGCGGTTGGCCGTACGGTTAGAACGCTGGGCTCTCAAGCAATAGACCTGTGTTCGAATCATCGATAAGACTGGGGATTTTATCTGTCATGGACACAAAAAATCCTTACCTGCAAAGTCGTGGCGACAGCACTAGCCATGCCGCGGTAATTCTTCAGGCTCAAATCCTCCCCCCCCCCCCTCCTCTCCCACCTGCCTACACAGCAAGAGTTGTATAATAAAGGCAGTCATTGGCAAGAGGGAGAAAGAAATTCTAAATTCGTTAGCTAGTAAAAGCTCTGCTGGCATTAAGGGATAGGTTCCGCAGGACTTCAAAGATTCAAGCATTATAACTATGTACATAAACAAGGGGGAACAGAGTGATTGCAACAACTTCCCGTGAGTTTCAGTTTTGCCTACTGTTGGAAAGGGTTTTGCCAGAATTGCTCTGTGAATAGTCCTAATCTCTGGAGACCAGGTTTACCCAGAGTCCCAGTGTGGCTTTCATGGGAATCGGTCTACCGATGATATGATATTCTCGTTACGACAGTTGCAGGATAAATGCAGTGAACAAAATTAACCGCTGTGTATTGCTTTCGGTGATCTCACCAAAGTATTTGATTTAGGTAGTTGTAAAGGGCTGTTCAACACACTCAAAAAGATTGGGTTTCCACCTACCAAACTGAGCATTATTGAGTCATTTCACACAGGTATAAAACGTGATGAGTTTCTAAACAGTAATTGAAAGAAGCAGTTATGTGTACTTACTCCTACCCTCTTTGGAAAATACTTCTCATTTCCTTTCAGACATGCCCTTCGAGATCAAGAGGGTAGTATATTCATCCATTCTCGGTCTGGTGACAGTCTCTTCTATTTTCGGAGGCTGAAAGCCAAAACCAGGATAAGTACCGTACTCATCAGAGAACTACAGTTTACACCCACTCAGAGGAGGAGCTGCAATGTTTACTATCTGCATTTGCTCATGCATGCTGTAAATTTGGACTAACAGTCAGCAAAAAAAAAGACACAAGTTATTGTGCAAGGTATTAATGACAGATCTGCAGTCTACATTTATGGTGAAAAATGCCATGGACCGTCTTGGGTGGAAGGAGGAAAGGGGGGGGGGGGGTATCAGAAAGAGAATGAGAATGAAGGACGAAATGATTGCAGAAAGGATGAGAGAGCTGATCGTCTGAGAAGTAACGTTCTAAATACAGGTCCTGAAATCCTATGTTCAAATTGTGAAAGAATTTTCAGTGCGGACGATCTTGCTTGTCACACTCACCATCATCATGTGCTGTGAGTGAAGTACCTTCTCATAGAACAATTTAACACTATCGTCTGGAAATGAAGTATTTAAAACATACCAAAAAAATTGCTATTCCTGGGACGAACGTGTTTTTTTTTTTTTTAGTGTGGCATTATTTTTTTCCCACCGCTACTGTAGCAAGAATCAGAAACAGTCATCCAGCAGCAACAAAACAGCAATAATCAAACAACAGACAACCAACATCAGACAACCACCCATAAACAATCGGCAGCCCCCAACCATCAACAGAAAACCAGCAACAACAGAAAACACAACAAAACAACCAGCAACACAAATTTACAGCAAACAACCCAGCAGCAAACAAACAGCAATAAAACAACCTACAAGCAACATGCAGCAGCGGCCAACAACAAACACCACCATCACCGCCACTAACAACAACAACACACACACGCGCGCACGTACACAAACAACAACAACAACAACAACACACGAACGCACACAACACATAAACAACAAGCATCAGACTGCAACCAGCAAAAATCAAACAAGAAAAAAGAGAAAAAAAAAATACCACATTCAGTTGTCAAAAATATTTGTAATTGGTTTTTCAGGTTGTAGATATAAACTTTGAGGAAGAAGTAAGTTTATTGTTTGGACTTCTCTCTCTTTTTCTCTCTCTCTCTCTCTCTCTCTCTCTCTCTCTCCCTCTCTCTCTCTCTCTCTCTCCCTCTCTCTCTCTTTCTTTCTTTCTCTCTCTCTCTCTCTCTCTCTCTCTCTCTCTCTCTCTCTCTCTCTCTCTGTATTAAGGAGGTGCTCATACATATAGGGTTTTAGTTTTTTGGCGGATGGCAGCACTTGTACTTTTTTCAGTTGATTTCAGCACTTTATGTTGAGTATCAGTACATAGCATACATACATACATACATACATACATACATACATACATACATACATACATACATACATACATACATACATAGATACATACATACATACATACATACATACATACATAACACATACATACATACATACATACATACATACATACATACATACATACCATACATACATACATACATACATACCTACATACATACATACATACATACATACATACATACATACATACATAGATAATACATACATACATACATACATACATACATACATACATACATACATTACATACATACATACATACATACATAGATACATACATACATACATACATACATACATACATGCATGCATGCATGCATGCATGCATGCATGCATGCATGCATGCATGCATGCATGCATGCATGCATGCATGCATGCATGCATGCATACATACATACATACATACATACATACATACATACATACATACATACATACATACATACATACATACATACATACATACATACATACATACATACATACATACATACATACATACATACATACATACATACATACATACATACATACATACATACATACATACATACATACATACATACATACATACATACATACATACATACATACATACATACATACATACATACATACATACATACATACATACATACATACATACATACATACATACATACATACATACATACATACATACATACATACATACATACATACATACATACATACATACATACATACATACATACATACATACATACATACATACATACATACATACATACATACATACATACATACATACATACATACATACATACATACATACATACATACATACATACATACATACATACATACATACATACATACATACATACATACATACATACATACATACATGTATGTATGGTCCAGCCCTATATGCCTAATAATCCTTTTATAGACTAATCGGCACTCGCTGGCTGATGTCGTCGCCAATTTGTCTAATTGTTCGCATTGCGCTCTAGAGATCATGGGTCCTTTTCACGGCTGTATCGGTCTGCTTATTAGTTCCATTTTATGGAGATTCCCAGAGTCGTCGCGGGAACTAGAGAGCTAGTGCTTTGTGCCACGTCCGTGGTTAGCAGTATTTCTTTTTAAATTTAAAAAGAAAGACCGAGCTGTATGTGATGAAAAGCAGTTATAATTATTTTGAGCTTCCTAACTTTTAACTTCAACTTTGGTACTTTGTGACAAAATGCAGAGATTCAGAATTTTTTTTTAAAGTCGTGACAACGACCATCTCAGTGGTTTATATAGCGTGTGCTCTTGTCTTGACAGTGTCATGTTACCATGATATCTACGTATTAATCTGTTTGTCCTTCTCTTGCTCTTTTACCACCCCTTTCTGCTGTCACTAGATTTTCTTGTTCATTTCTCACTACATTCTCAAACAACGATATTGGTGACCTAGTCTAAAATGGGTAAACATTCCTGCGAAGTAAAGACGGCTGGCGTGATGTTGACCTCATCACTTAAAGAAGGCCGATGAGTACTTTGATCACTTACTACTTTGTTTGTTTTCAAATTTAATTTTTTTTTTTTTTTTTTTTTTTTTTTTTTTTTTTTTTTACACTCAGTCATGTGCAGTCTCTATTACAAGGTTGGCTGGAACGGGTCTCCAACTCACGCTGTTTCTTGCCTTGATTGTGCACTCTCTCAGACCAGTAATGGGGTGTCTGTTGATGATTTCATCTCACTTTTTAACTTTACATTTTCTTCAGCTCTAGACTGTTTAGTTGCTCTATGAGACTCCGAAATTAAAGCTAAGTGAAGTGCTTTCACAGTTAGTCCTCAAGGTACCATGGTTCGATTCCAGGAAAATAAGAGACCGTTTCTTTAGCTTTAGGGTTGCGGTACGAGAATCGCATTGTGGAAGAGATATGGACATCACCACTTAATGTTCTGGTAAACAGCAGTAAATGCAGTAGAGATAATCTCCATTGTAGTGGCTGCGCTTAAGAAAACAATGTTACAGTACAGTCATGGCGAATTGAAAATCTCTACATCAGTAGCCAATCTGTGTAAGTTATTGAAAGTCGGCATGCAACCTGTTCATTATCATTCCCCTTGTAAGATATATATATATATATATATATATATATACTATATATATATAATATATATATATATATATATATATATATATATATATATATAAAAGAAGAAGAAGAAAACGAAGAAGAAGAAGAAGCAGAAAAAGATAGGTAGTAGAAGATACACATCCAAACTCAGGTCAAACAAGATGATTTTAGGCACTTTTAAACATGTATTTATTGTCAACAGGGTTCGCAGAGTTCGAATAGTTACTCAAGCAGGCCCTCAAGGTTCAGTAAATTCCGCTTGATGAACGAAAACTTGGAGGAACTAACGTCTGTAAGTAATCATCATTATCACCAGCATCAGCTTCCGTATTTGCTGTTACATGCGTTGGGGAAGAACTGTTGCTCCGTGCATTATTCTTAACCCATATTTTGAATTTATTGTAGGTTTCACGAGTTTGTGTTGGCTGCTCTTCAGTCGATGAGATAGAGACGTATTCAATAAAAGGCCCGCTTGCTCCAGTGTAGACTAGCCTTCATGTTTTTGTACTGGCTCCCCAGTATGCTTCGTCCAGATTTTGTTTTTACTGCAGTGAGTCCTCGTATGCCTTTTGATTTTCTCTAGAGAGAGTGATGCAGTTGGAATTGACTAGAGGATCTGGCCGACATTCAATACTCGGAGGAAACGCAAGAAGGACATACAATCAGACATCTGCTGGTACTCGGAGGAAACGCAAGAAGGACATACAATCAGACATCTGCTGGTACCATCAGAAATGGAACTCGTCGTTTGCTGCTGAAGATGGGCATGCAAGGTCCCGAGTATTTTCAGGTCGGCTCTTAACTCAACATACCTAAATCTAGTGCAGGGCTTTTTAACGGGCGGCCAGGAAACCAAATATGGTCCACGGAGGCCTTAGCAAATGGCCTTCAGATTATCGCTATTTGTATTGTATTATTGATCTTTCTTTGTTGGATCTAGGACATCTGGGCCGTGGCAATGTATATTTTCACAATTTCCGCAGCCATACTACTGTTAGTTGGTTACCCAGTTATTCAACAGATTATCCTCATTCCACAGCAAACCACTCTGTACATCATCAGTTCTCGTTATGCCTAGTGGCACAAGAGGCTTCAGAGAGGACTTTCCATGCTTTCCTGTCCTGTGCAATCTTCAGTGCAGTTCTCCATGTCAAAGATGCCGCACTCAGGTCACTTTCCATCGTTCGTCTTCATGTTGTTTTTGGGCGCCCCTGTTTTCTCTTTCCCTCTGGTGTCCATGTGAGAGCTGTTTTGGCAGGTATATCAGAAGTCATTCTCATAACGTGGCCAAGCCATTTCCATCTTCTCTTGGTAATCATACTGTCTAAAGTTTCTTGGTTTGTGGCTTGAAGTAGTTTAGTGTATGAGATTTTATCTGGCCAGAAAATTTTGATAATTCTACGTAGACATGTGTGGTGGAAGGTGGACAGCTTGTTTGCATCCTTTTTGGTCATTTTCCAGCATTCCGCTCCATAAAGAAGAACTGGCAAAATGATGCTCTTGTAGAGTCGGAGTTGGAGTCGGAGTCAGTAATGATTGGATTTCCAGATTTGCCTCATCCTTCCAAAAGCAGCTCTAGCTTTGTTCAGACGTGACTGTATGTCTTTCTCTGTCCCTCCCAGTAGGGACACCACACTGTCACACTGTACATAGTTGCTCGGAACTCCGTCTCAGTAAATCATACAGCTTTTAGCGGCTGATAACACCAGTCCTGTATTGGTTTCTTATTCTTCATTGGCTTCCTGCATGGTGCTGTTGTCTGGCCACGCCCTTTTAACATGCAGTTTTTGCAGTCTGGTCATGGTTGCAGATTCACAGTCATCACCTGGTTCTCGCAAATGTCTCACTTCGTGTAGAGCATTTTGTATATCAGCGCCGTCAATGACACATCCGCCCGCCATAGTAGCTTTACCCACTAGCCGACCAGCTTGCTCGTTTCCTTGCACGAACGTGTGCTCAGGCAAATAAATATTAAACTGATATGTGTCAGCCCCATACTGCTGTTTGATGATTCTACCCGCAGGTCCTTTCCACCATGTTGGCCTCGTCACGACACGTCTGAAAGTCTCTCTTTGTCTAACTAATTCTCCAACATTGTGTGCGTTCATAGCCAATGCATCTTTCATGTCTTGGATCCACCTTCGCTGAGGTCGGGTTCTTTCTAGTTTTCCAGAATGTGTACGTTCTATAGTCCTACTCCCAGGATACCATGGCGCGTAACATGGCTTAAGTTCTCCAGGCTTCAGGCCAGGATGCTGTTTATAAGCCAGTTCTTCTCGATCTCGGGTCATGTTGAACGGAGTTATTCAACTGGCGTTCTGCGGGCCAGATCTGGTCAGCGGAGGTCTAGCAAGTGGTCAGTTGTATTGAATTAAATATGTTAGGACTCAGGCCTCTGGCACTTGACGAGCCTCATTTTCAAAACTGTGGCCGTGAATAAACTTAGTTGAATATGACGTAGGATGTCGGTGTTTTTTCTTCTTTTCTTCCACGGTATTCTAAGTATTATTCTGTTGCTTTTCATTTCACAGGCTCTGATATGTGTGTGTGACTGGAGGTATTCAGTTAAACAGGAAACCCTTTCAAACTTACCATATATTCATGATCTCGTCTGCAGCAACAAAGTAAAGGAGAGGGCAGTCGGAAATCAACGTTGAAACAGTTGCAGACGAGCTTCCAAGTCAACCAAACAGTTACCCAGCCGTCGACACCAGAGTCCAAAATGTTCCCAGATGTGAGCAGTCCGTTTAAACTTTGTTTCCCCGCATGTATCTCTGGTTTCTGACTCTTTCAGTTGCAGGTAGATTTGATTTATTTTCCTATTTTATCTGCACAAGTTTGCACTCAAACCAGGCGCGCCGCCTCCAACAGGGTTCAAATTAGCTTTGGCCTTGCTAAGTGTGCAATAAAAATTAATAAAATTGTTATATGCTGAATGGTATTTAAATATAATTATATATTTCGAAAAATACATAATATATATTCAAAACAATGTTTTTCCGTAATGAATTTAAATAATGCCGACGCAAACAATGTGAAGTCAGGGATGCTTCGAGCTGAGTGGCGGTCTTCACTGGAAAGGTCGCAGGTGGATGTATTGTTTGTGTCAGCATTATTTAAAAACATAATATATAAACAAATTCTTAAAAGAGAATGGCTGTACATGAGTAGGGAGAACCCCTTAAACTGCCTGCAGACCTTCTTTGGAGTGGGAGTTCAGTCTCCCTGAACTTATCAAACCAAAGCCGACACGAAGAGAAGCGGATAGCTACTATCTAAACAGGCTCTGACATGGGAAATAAATGGACTGAGAAAATAAGGCCGTCCAGGAATAAAAGACTTTAATTCGAGCTACGATGAGAAACGACAAACGTAAAGGTAAAAGGTAAAGGCGGGAGATGTGAACCAACGTCATTGCACACGGTTGTAAACCATAAGTGTTCTGCCACCAGTACGGACAGCTGATAAGAAACTCTCCGCCTGTGTCACCACCCGCACGTAACTCCGTAGCTACAGCGACGTTCCTTAATTTACTCCAGAGTGTTAACGCTGGTACCCATTTCCTAGAGACTGGGTGAACCGCGGGAACCGCCCGGTTTCGAACACCGGCCTTGGGCTGCAGCGAGTCGCAGCTGGATTTGAAAGCGAGGTTCCCATCGACTGCGCTAACGCGGAGCCGTCAAAGGCGCTGAACTGCATTGCATGCAGGACATGGCGCAGACTTCATAGGGTAGAAAGAAATAGCAGACTAAATTGCGTGTCCACATGACCTATGATGACACGATAGGATGAAAATGATGCTGTTCGCCATTGCATTCAGAACGGAACACGACTTGTAATGCTAGGGTGCCAACTTCGATCCCAGCTGCTGGCCTTGCGTCTTGCGTTGGTTTCGAAAGTGGTATCGAGAAGCCGACCGTTCAGAACAATGACAAACTACTGGACGTAAATTTGCCTTTGAAAAAAAAAAAAAAAAAAAACTACAACAGCCACACACACAAAAAATGCTGGGGTTAGTTCTGCAACATCCTGTAAAGGATACGTAACTAACTTTATTGGACAACAATGGTGACAGCACACATGAAGTCATGAAAAGACTTGCTTTAGCAACGCATAGGTTAAACTGTACGAACAATCTATGGCTGGCACTCGAAGGCAGGTTAACAAGTTAACAATTTTGAGATCATGCATCTTTGCTGTGCTTATGGATGTGAGTCATTGACTCTTACTAAATCTTTGAAGAAGAAAACAAACTAGCATTTGAACTGAAATACTACAGAAAACAAATTATCAGAATATCGCTCATAAACAGAACAGAATCCTGTCCCAGAAGCGGAGGTATTTCTGCCATGTCAAGCGCCTAGTGGTCTAGAGAGATCGGCGATGAAGGGTACAGTTTCCAAAGGATGCAGAGGTCGACCTCTGTGGATGTGGTGAATACAGGACATAGAAGATGCATTGGCTATGTATGAAAGCCCACATGGCTGGAGAATTGGCTAGAGATAAGAGAGAGACTTTCAGGCGTGGCGTCAAGAGATTGATTATCTGTGAAGGACCTGCTGACTGACTGATTGACTTATGGGTTTTGAAAGCTGTCAATGCCTTCCTATAGCCCAGTATAACACTTTGGTCTAGAAAGACAGAAAAATGACCAAAAATTATTATTATTATTATTATTATTACTATTATCATTATTATTATTGGGAGTAGCCGTAGTGTGGCTTCTAGACGCTTCCTTGCTGTTCGGAAGGTCGTGGGTTCGGGTCTTAACAGGGCCGGACTTTTTTTTAAACAAAAAATGACCTTGGCCCCCAGCTCGAACCAGCTTGAATGGGTACCGGGTGCAGTCGTGTGAAGTAAATGGGAGGGGCGTGATGCCGAACACAACACTCACCAAGTGCCGATTAGTCTATAAAATACAGGTCTAGCCCTATATGCACAATATGCCTAAAGGCGTGGAAAGGGTCCTTTATGTTTACTTTATTACTATTTTATTATTATTATTAATAATACTAATAATAATAATATTAATAATAATAATATTAATAATAATAATATTAATAATAATAATAATAGTAAAAACAATATAATTATTATGGGAGTTGCCATGGCATAGCGGCAAGATGCTCGCGTGCGGATCGAAAGGTCATGGGTTCGCTCCCTGGCGAAGCCGGACTTTTTTTCCAAAAATGACCAAGACTCGCGGGTTGACCCAGCCTTGAGTGGGTACCAGGTGCAGTCCATGGAAGTAAAAGCGGCGCTGACCCATCTTGTGCCGATTTTCCTATAAAAATATAGGTCTAATTCTATATTCCCTATACGCCTAAAGGCGTGGACAAGGGACCTTCATTTTACTTATTATTGCGACAGCAGAGGCAAAACTATTATACTGGGTATATTTCTTCATTGATTGTGTTGGTAAACTACATAACCATCTCCATCTAGAGAGATATGATATGCCTGCTTGTCTTGTTGGCTTCATTGTTTACCCCTTGCCCATTCCTTTATAATAAGAAGTGTTTACTGTTGTGTGCAGAATGATGTGGATGAGTCACAGAAGCTGGCCGTGACCTTGATCCAGCAATTAATTCGTGGACGTTCGGTACAGAACAAAGTAAGACTTGTTTACTGTCATCATCATCATTATCATCATCATCATCATCAACATCATCATCATCATCATCCCGTAAAACTGTGTGTCACTGGGTCACTAGTTGCTCTTGACTGTCTAATCAGCTACCTCAACCTTTGAGGTCGGATGCGATGGATTTCACGGTTGCACGTGTAAGGCCTGTCCAGTCAATGAAGTTCTGGGTCTAAATCTTTCTTTGTCTGCCTCTTCTGCTGTCCCTCTCTATTTCGTCATGTAGTATTGTTTTGAGAGGGCGTTAGATCGTTAGAGGTTCTGGAAGGTATTCAGCACTAAAGGGAAAAGAGAGGCGGAATTTTAATAAGGCTGCAACTGATACTATTAGCATATCAACTCTTCGTTGGCTACTAAAGAAGGAGACCGAGCCCGTGTGGGAATGTCCCTAGTGCAATTATGTCAATTCTTGACTCACTCATAAAACGGGATAATTTACCCTAGAAAACGGGACTGTCGGATGGAAATGGGACGTATAGTTACTCTGTCTGTTCGATAAACGCGTGAAAAGAGCTCTTTGTTTGTACATCCGCAGATGTTTGAAGGCAAGGAAAGATACCGTGACCTCATCAGTGAGGTGAAGGCCAGTCTGCTGTTTGACACAGCCACTAACCAGACAGTGAAGCAGCACAAGCAGCACGTAACTGAGACCCTACATGAGCAGAGGGCCAGAAATGAGCACAAAGTGGGTCCATGTTATGTTTGTCCACATTCCTCATCCTTTCACATCCTCCTCTTCTTGTCATTATTTTACTTTCTTCATTCGTTTCCTTAAAATTGCTTCACTTCTGCGATTCGTCTAAATTTAAATATTGTGTTAATTATTTCTGTTCTATACTTCCAGTGTGGGATCTGATTTCACATTGGGGGGGGGGGGGGGGAGGGAGACAGATGGGGGAAAAAAAAAGGGGGGGGGGGTGGCAGATTGGGGAAAAAAAAAGGGGGGGGGGGGGGGGGGTCCATGTTTATTTGTACACATTCCTTGTCCTTTCACATCCTCCTCTTCTTTCTCCTCTTTTACTTATTCTTTTCCATTCTTCATTCCTTTCTCTAACATTGCTTCCCTTCTGCGATTTTTCCTAATTGTGTTCATTATTTGTGTTCTATACTTCCATTGTGGGCTCGGGTGTCACATTTTGGTGGTGGGGGGGGGGGGCAAGGGGGGAGGGGGCGAGCGAGGCAACAACGAATATTCTCACTGCCCCCAACAAGCATGTCGACTAACTTGGTTTTTGCTGAAGTCGAATTTGTTGATCCTAAAGGCGCAGATATCACAGCTTAGTTGTAAATCACAACACAATGTACTAAGCGCCCTTTTAAGGGCGCAGAAGAAGATGAAGAAGAAGAAGAACAAGAACAAGAAAGAAGAAGAAGGAGGAGGAGAATAATATACGAATAATATCAACATAATGGTGTTGGTTTGCTACTTTAATTGAGAATCACAAGTACAGCTTGTTTAATAAAGTTTAATAAAGCGGCACTAAAAATTTTGAAAATTATCTGGAAATTATCTTTGAAAAATTAAATAAGCAGTTGATCCAGACTTTCAGTCTCACATTTTCCTGATATCTCATTTCTAATCCTGCATCTTCATGTTATTCAAGATGGAATCTCAGTCAGCTAGTAATTTTTATATTCTAACATCAGACTGGGAGCTGCCGTGGTACTTTATGGTAGGTATCACCCTGACAAGACAGTGCTGTAATTTGGCGCCCCAAATAATTGATGCAGAAGTGAAAGCATTTGTGGAGAAAAACACATCACCGGAAGATGCTGTTACGCCACCCCTCGTTATATCAAGCAGAACATAATTATAGTATTTAGCCTAAAAGCTACTGAAGACGTACTCAGGAGGGGATCGGGGCAGTTATGGTCATGTCCGATGTGCAGTGAACATGATCACTAAATGAACAATGAACAGTTGCTGTCTTGGCTTAAGTAATTGTTTTCCAATGGTCTCTTTTAATGAGTCATTAGCGGTTTCATGTTTTACTTGGACAATATTTTTTTTTTCAAATCGTCACTCTCAGCCAGCAGGTTATAATTGTGACTAGGCTATTTGCGCCATAAAAAAATGACTATTAGCACTGCACGCCACCAAGAGCCCTGAAAAGGACTCTCGTAGTGTTGATGCGATCACAGGTGACAGGCGCAAATACTGTCCGACCGGCGTCGAAGTCGTCTACCGGAGAGACAATCAACACAAAGCGGTCGGCTGACAACTTGTCCACAGCTGAAATCAAACCAGGTAACTCGGAATTGTAAAAAGTGTTCGCACCGTCGAAGCCAGTGGTTCTCAACCTTTCTAATGCCGCGACCCTTAAATACAGTTCCTTGTGCTGGGTTTACCCCCAACCATAAAATTATTTTCTTTGCTACTTCATAACTTCAGTGTATATGTGTTTTTCGTTGGTGTTAGGCGACCCCTGTGAAAGGATCGCGACCCACAGGTTGAGAACCGCTGGTCTAAGACAGAAACCTTGACCAAGTAATTACACATGTGCTACTAAAGTTGTAGCCATATTTCTGGCATCCTATGTACGATTATTTTCTGTTAAAGGAGTCACTCGTGAACGATGCACTACAAGAGCTGGAGAGCAAAAGTGTGGGCGAATGTCTGGACTTTCTCTCCAAGGAACTCCTTCGATTGGAAGAAGAGCGGAGAATACACGCGTTCGCAATCATCTGCGAGCGTCAGAGACGCGAGCGGGAATTGGCTGAAGGCAGAATACGACAACAGGAGATGCGAAGGCGAGATGAAGAAGATGAGATATTCAAGGAGGTAAGCCAACAGTTACTTCATTAACCTTCATTCATTGTTGCTGTGAGCTGCCATGGAACCAAACTACAATTCTCTAGTAAATGGGCCATTATTTGTAAGTGAATGTAGGTGGTATATCCCACAGAATATGAAGACCTACTGATTTCATGTGATTGTATGTCCAATGAATATTTTAGAATCCCTGTGTACAGTGAACAAATCTACCACTAATTGTATATCCAACAAAGAGTTAAAGACCCTGAGTGAACTATGATTGTATGTCGCACATATTGTAACCATCCATGACCCTACTGTGACTGTATCTCCAACAGATAGTTAAGGTTCAAAGTGTACTTTTACTGTATGTTCAAAAGACAATTGAGAGCCCAAGTGTACTGCTCTTGTATATCCTACAGATCCTAAAAACCCACCAGTGCTCTGTAGACGGGTACTTGGATCAAGTCATCTCAGCCACCCTGGATCACACTGCCGATGAGCAGTCCAAGCTTGAGATCCAGCGCCAAGCGGAAACAATCAACGATCTGGCATATGACTGCGAGAAATAGTGAGTTATTCTCATTTAGCAAGTGTGTTGGCATGGGTTGGTGTGTGACTGTTTACGGGTTGTCATTAGGGAGCCGTCGTGATTTAGCGGCTAGATGCTAGGTCGTGGGTTTGGATCCTGACGCAGCCGGACTAGTTTTTAAAAAAAAATGACCTTGGCTCCTAGGTCGATCCTGCCTTGAGTACATTCCTGGGAAGTAAAATGGGTCAGCATCATGCTGACCATATCATCCACTAACGGCCGATTGGTCTATAAAATACAGGTCTAGCCCTATATGCCCAGTACACCCAAAGCCATGGAAGAGGGTTTTTTACTTTACCTAATTTACGGTATCACGTTTCCGTCGGCAGACAGAGGATTACACTAAAGTGACACTGACTACAGTCAGCACGATCGGAAGGAAAGCATGGCAAACTACCTTTTTTCAAGATGGCAACAATAGGGATGACTTCACAAGCAGAAAAGGCCACTCGCAGCGGAGATGTCGTTTTTCAGAAGAATGCAACGAACATCACGGAGAGATAGAAAGGCAAACGATGCCGTTTTTCTCGAGGCAGATGAAACCCGTAAACTCATTAGAGAAATTAGAGAAAGCATGCTGAGGAAGGTTAGGACAGTCATGCTTTGTGCAGAGTGGCATGCTTTACTGCGGAGGACACGGGTGAGTGGTATTGTCTGGATTTTTTTCACCATTTCACCGAGTAATGGAGGTGTGTTAGGAAATGAACAGGCGGACGGACTGGCTGGCTCTGCACAACTTGGTGAAATACTGAGGCATGATAAGGCAGACGTGGTTAGTGCTTTGTGGGAGAGCGTGTACAGTTTGGAGGAGCAGATGGATCACCACAGTCTGGTAAGATTGATGCAGGGGGCGAGGGGGGGGGGGAGTGGCGAGAGGTTCTGGCATATGCTCGAGGCTCAGAGGAAAGGCAAGACGGACGTTTAATCATAATGCTGCTGGCATCATTAGTATCGGACCTCTTCACTGGCTGTTAGAGGATGGAGACGGGCGCTCATGGGAAAGCCCCGAGTGCTGTGATGTCGGTTCTTGAATCAACCCAATTTCACTCAGAAATTAGAGAGTGTTTCTGGAGATGTTATTAAAAGAAATGAACTCGAAAAATCGTTTACGACTGGCAAGAGTGATGGGAAAAAGCACCAGGGAGGTGCATGACTGACAGTCATACGGATGGGGTGAAACAAGAGTACTTGCCTCATCCGTAAGTCTGCTGATACTGTGAGATGACGAAACATAACCAAGTGCACACGAGAATGATGATGATTGTAAGAGGACTCATAACTGTACAGGCGCACTGCCACGAAGGAAACATTGGAGAGCGCCTCATTCCCTTAAAATTGTATAGGGCTGGGGTTCAAGGAGCTTAGGCTTTTGCCACGGAACTTGATCTCCGCCATAGACACAGACCGCCTAGTATCCTGCCAGCCATTTGATGCCTAACAGCCCCTCCGCTTCTGCTTAAGTTTATCTTCATCTTTGGTGCCGTATGCCTCTCTGCTCGTCCTGTTTTACGATGTTTGCAGCTAATTTTACCTTCATCGGCAAAAGAAGGAAGAAACGGCAGAAACAAGTTTCTTAATGGAGGGAGAGGGGAAATTGTAAGGATTGGAACAGCTGAATCCAATATCTACAAACTGTGGGGATAATAATAGATTGTAGCACCGTGATAAAGTTAACCCTGGTTAACACGTGGGTTATCTTATTCAATGGTAACATTATTATACATTTAAAAAAAAAGTCACTGAAACCAAAGCACTTTGGGTGTCAAAAAAAATCTAGTGACCCCAAACAGCTCTAAAAGTGGTGAAAGACTACGAAATAAAATACAGGCAAGTATTATAAATGTTATGATGGGTGGGACTCATTTTCCAGATCTCCCCAACTTCCCCTTCCGCCTCCTCCTACTTCTGTGCTATGTGCCGTGTCGTTGTATTTTGAAAATTTTAAAATGTATAAACGAATGCTTAATATTAGAACGTCTATATGTTCTCTCGTTTTTGTTTACGGCATGTCGCGGAATCCTTGCGTTGCAAGGAAAAGTCCAATATTATAGAGTGTTACCGTGTTAAATAAGCACCGACAAACTCTAAAGTAAAACCCTCTATTTATAATATTGGACTTTCCCCTGGAACTATCGGAGTGTGTACATATCTATGCTCCCTAAATATATTTAGGAAAAAAAATATTGGGGCAGGGGGGGGGGGGGGCGAGTGGCTATTAGTGTTCCAGAGCCCCTATGTTCTAGCGTCGATGTAAGTAACAAATGGGTTGACCAACCAGCCACACAAACTTCACTTGGAAGTATCTGTGCGACCCTCCATAAAATATACACCAGGCCAAACTAAATCAGCATTCCACTGATCTTAACACACCACTTTGGCCACTTATCTCATTAGCTTTGACCTATGTACTAACAACGGTTCTTGTCTCACACGGACAGCCGTGATCAGATTATGAGCGAAGAGATCGCTGCTGATCTTGTTCACTCCTTTCTCATACCGGAAGCCAAGAAGAAATTCATCCGAGAAAAAGGTAGGTCCATTTATACATCAGTTTGTGACTCTTACTATTGCTTTCCTTATATTTCCCACACAGTGTGCCCCAGAAAGTTGCTGAACATAAAATGGCAAAACAGGATCCCTGAAACTAAAGTCCTTAACAGAGCTAAATGATGAGCTACTAAAAGAAAAACGCTCTCAAGGTGGACAGAAGAAACGTTTCAAAGACAGCCTCAAAATCTCACTGAACGACTTCTGTAATGATCCTAAAACCTGGAAAGTTGCTCCATCTGACCGCTCATCCTGGCACTCCTCTCCTTATCAAGAGGTTGTGGCCCATGAAGCTGCTAGAACTACAGCAGGAATTCAGAAAAGAGAAGGCAGGAAAGACACTGAATCAAATCAACAGAGAGATGCGGCTTCTATTTCCTTTCCACATTGCTCAAGAACTTTCTGTTCTAGAATTGGCCTTATCAGCCATCTGTGCACTCACAAAACCTTATCGTCATCACTGGTTGAAAAGACTGGTCATCATCACCTGTGATAGACGAACACCATATATATATATATAAATGTGTGTGTGTGTGTGTGAATGTGCGTGCATTGATTGATCGAAGTTCTACCCCAACAGTATATCACGCCGAGCGACAAACACCCAGTGACACAAAGTGCCACCATTCGGAAAAGGATCACCCGGGAAGAAGTCCCGGAACGCTGTTCAACCCAAAGGTTGGGTTATATTAGGGCCCTCGGCAACAGCAGGAGTGGGGCTTTAAAATAACGAAAAATTGCGTTTCATACTGGAAAGGTATACATGATAAATCGCAAACCCTTTCTTTATTTCGTGAGATTAATTTAAATGAAAAGTTAACTCCTCCCAAGCCGTGACCACCACACTGGTTACATTTCCATTAGCCATTATGATAACAATGTTTAATTTAACATTCATGTTGGCGGCCCATATATTTGTGCGTTTCTTTATGTATTGCGCCAATCAGTAACTGTAAATTCCCGCCAGAGTTTTATCCCTTTGAACATTCATTCCTATTACTTGCCTTGAAAATGTATTTTTTTTAAAATATATATATACATTTCGCTGTTTTTTTTTCCTTGAGACTATGTGCATGTGTGTCTGTGTGTTTGTGTGTGTGCGTCTGTGTGTGTGTGTGTGTCTGTGTGTGTGTCTGTGTGTGTGTCTGTGTGTGTGTGTGTCTGGGACAGTACATTTGCCATAAACCCATATATGTGTGTGTGTGTGTGTGTGGGCCTTTAAAATGTGGGAAGAATTTCAGCTTACAGGAAGCTATATTGTGTACCAGAGCAGTCGCCAATTTCTTTCTAATACCACAGTCTCTGATCTGGTCTTTTTTCATCATTGTACGCATAGACCAGAATGCCACGAAGCGCCAACATTATCCTTGCACAGTCGCCTCTTACGATATGCTTCACTGGTGTCAGAGTTACTATTATTTTTTTACTTTAAAAAAAAGCTTTCCTGTCGATCAGTGTTTTTTTTTTTTTTTTTTTTTAAGCGGAAAAAAAAAAAAAACTCAGGAAAAACAAACATACATCGTCTTTCAGGAAATAGTGCATTAAGACAACGTAGACCCGTGTTGGTCACCTGGTAGATTTGGGCAATAGCTGATCACACCAGACGCCTAGGCGGGGACTGACAGAGATATAGAGTATACGACCGACTCACTGCTGAAGGTCTCTACAAATATATTTAAATCTCCATATGACTTTATTTACACTTTTGTTATTATATTTATAATCCACCTGTGTGTTCCAGGACCACGTGGGAGGGGTGGGGGTGGGGGGGGGGGGGGGGAGAGGGGTTGTAGAAACACTCCTCCCAAACAAGCATGTCATAGAAGGCGACTAACTATTGATTTGCTGAAATCGAGAGTGTTTGATGGATAGGAGACAAATATCGCAGTCTAGCCTAAAGCCCAACACAACGTGACAACCGTCTTTAAGGGAAAGATAAATTCTTATAGTATGCTCTGTTATCATACTATATCCTCCTGATCGATGTCACTGCACATTAGATTTTCCCATCAATGCTCATTGATCTACTGAGTCAGACTCCTCTGACGTTAAATAACAGCTTCTAGCTCTTTGAAAAGCTTCCATCTTTGACTGACTATTTCCACGAGGCGGCGTGGGATAGCGGTTAGATGCTCAATTGTGGATCCTTCGGTCTTGGGTTCAAATCAGAATGTAGACGAAATTGTTTTAAGAAATGGGTAGCAGGTAAAGTCCTTGGAAGTAAAGGCAGCAGGAGTGATGTTGACCACATCATCCACCGAGTGCTGATTGGTATGTAAAATATAGGTCTTGCCCTATATGCCCAACATGAAGGCGTTCAAAATGGTCTTTTACTTGTTTACTTTAGCCGGCGGAGAAGTTATAGTTGAAAGTAACCAAGTTTTGAGTCGAAAGTAGTTAAAGTAAACACATTATTGAGCAAAGGGAGAGGGGAGGAAATAAAAACTAACATTTAGTCTGACGTTAGTCTCCCCGGAGAAAGTAGGTCATGTTCCATTGATTACTTTGTTGGACTGGTCTTCCTTGCTGGACGTTACGGGTATGCCGCTCTGTTGTTTGCTTTCTGGGATGTCTTGCATTTACGTGTGTGTGTGTATTTTTTTTCCCGAGAAACAGAATGCCTGTGACATAGGTTTCATCACTCTCTAAATGGGTTGTGTGTTAGACCCAGTTTGTTGATGTTTTTGGAGTGTTAAAAGCGCTTGCATGCTGAAATATAGAAGACACGAGCATTGAAGAACACCCCCGTCACCTTGTGGCTCAAGGTCGACCAATCAGAAGTGAGCTAGGCTAAAGGTCGAAAAATCAGAAATGAGCTAGTGTGTAAGAGTGAGTAAATGGGGAGACTTTCGTCAAACTAATCAAACTAACAATTTAGTTTAAAGTTTGTCCTGCGAACTTTCCAGGACCCCAATGTGGGCTTTAAAACAAACAGACCCACTGTCCCGTAAATATTATGTTGTGTAAAGTGAACTAATTAGCTGTGTTTAAGTTAAAGTCTGAGTGCATCTGCCTGAAAGAAAAAGATGGATTGATGGCAACCATTGAGAAATGGGTTGATGTCACCCCATGAAAAAATGAATTGATGGCACATTTTACATCCACGCTGAATGGTAATATCCAGTGCTACCCATCAGCCCTAGACTACAAACTGTTTTCAGAGTAGTCCCCTAATTATCAGGAATAGGAAATAGGAAAGTTTATGGCAAGGTCATCCTTTAGCTCCTCCTCACACTGTTGTGACCTGGGGTATGTGAAGAGCAGACAGATGGCAACAGCATCAGTTGATGTCATGGGTCCCTCATTATCTGTAATGCACTTTTTTAACGTGTATTGTTTCCTTGAAGTTCGCAGAAACCAGCGTCGTTTTCTGATAGCGGCCCATGAAGAAATCTACCTCATGGAAAACCCATTTTTGGGGAATGACAGCCTCCTAGCTTTCACCACCCTGTCCTGATTGTATGACTCCACAACGTAGATTTCACCCGCCTGCCGTTGTTACTTCACGCATCCACGTAGATGTCTTCAGCCTGCTCCATTTACGTGACTCAGGGACGTAAATGTTATCATTTTATTTATGTTTCGTGATGCATCCACGTAGATGTCATCAGTCTAAACTTGGTACATGACATCCGCGTAGATGTCATTAGGCTATTCTTGGCACGTAATAGTCATATAGACATCATCAACGTATTCTTTTTACGCGACCCACCCCAGTAGATGTCATCAAATAATTATTGCTACGTGACTCAACCATGTAGATGTCACCAGCCTACACTGGTTACGTGACCAGGCCACGCAGATTTCATCAGGGTTTTTTTTTTTCTTGTTACCTGATCAAGCGTAGATGCCATTCATGTTTTTTTTTTTACGTGACCCAGCCACGTAGATATCATCAATGCATGAAACCACTAAGGTATTAGCAGTCAATTTGATGAAATGTGAAGAAAGTATCTCCGGATACGATCTGCACGTAATGGCTACTTTCAAGCCTCTTTCTTTGTTTATTGTTTTTATTTATTAACTGGAATTTATTCGTGTTTTTACAGTAGGATACTTTTTAGACGAAGTCTATAATCATTTTCTATGCTTTTGTTGTATATTATACATGATGTACAGAATATTTTATAAATATGTGATGTACACTCTTATTGTTCGTTTTTTTTAATTATTCAATAAAGGATGTTTGGATTTTCAAATGCGCAGATAGTAATTGCAGATTATTATTCCATTTTTTTTAAATTTCAACATTATACATCGTTATCCTATTATTGGTTTACTGTCTCTTCTTCTCCTGCTTACACCCTTAAAATGGCGATTGGCAGATTGTGATGTGGTTTACAGCTGGACTTCGAGGTATGTGCATTTCGGTATAGTGCATTCATACCTTACCATCCTGAGATTTCTATTCCTCCACTTCTGGACTTTGATCTTGAACTAGAACTGGAGTTTTGCGTGCACATCCGTTTTACAGACCTGACTTATTTTGTATGCACAATATTAGTTTACTGCCTTTAGAGACGGATCTGTTCAGATATTGAAAACATCCATAACTAGTCGCCTTCTACGACATGCTTGTTGGGGGCGGTGGGTATATTGTTTGCTCTCCAAAATGGAGCCGGGAAACCACACAGGGAATCCTGAGATTTACAAATATTTTAGGCCAGCAGACCAACAAGACAGAACCCAGATATACCCCGCTGAACCTCAACAGAGCCCAAATATACCCAGTTCAACCTCCACAGAGCCCACATATACCCAGTTCAACCTCCACACAGCCAAGATATATCCAGTTCAACCTCCACAGAACCCAGATATACCCCGCTGAATCTCCACAGAGCCCACATTTACCCAGTTCAACCTCAACACAGCAAAGATATATCCAGTTCAACCTCCACAGAGCCCAGATATATCTCGTTCGACCTACACACATTCAAGATATAGCCAGTTCATTTTCCACAGAGCCCAGATATATCCCGTTTGACCTCCACACAGCCAAGATATACCCAGTTCAACCTCCACAGAGCCCCCTGTACACCGTTCAAACTCTACAGAGCTCGGATTTATACTGTTCCCCTCCACAGAGCCAGATATACCAGCGCATTCACCACAGAGCCCTAAGATACCCTATTTAACCTCTACAAAGCCCGGATATACCCCTTTCAACCTTCACAGAGCCAGATATACCCCGCTGAACCTCCACAGAGCCCAGATATACCCCGTTCAACTTCCACGGAGCCCAGCTATACCCCGTTAAACTTCCACAGAGCCTGATATAGCCTTTCAACCTTTACAGAGCCCAGATATACCCTTTCAACCTCAACAGAGCCTAGACATACCCCGTTGAACCTCCACTGAGTCCGACACGGGTATATGTTCATTCGACGGATCAACATCATGGCAGGCACACGTGTTAACCCATGTGTGCTCCGCTCTAATTCTAACGCAAGCATGAGTCTGATGAAGCTCATCGCCGTGCACGAACTCCGTTGCACCAGCACTTTTGGGTAGATTTGTAAACGCTAAATTTTTCTTTAGGCTACTCTTTTTAATTTCCAACTGCCAATGGATTTTTTAACGTGCACAAGAATACACACTGGCGTCTGATCTTACTACCCAGAGGCTAGAGGAAATAACTAGAAGTGCACGTGAAAAAATCCCAGCCTTCATCGGGGCTTGAACCCAGGACCTCCAGCACTCGAGGCGGACACCATACCTAAAGATCACTCAGAAGGACGTCGACAAGCAAGACGATGGACGCATGGAATCTCGTTAGCCTGTTTATCACCCGGTCTCTTACCAGAAACCACACAAGCGGGTTCTTTTAACTCTGCATAGGGCACGACTCAAGCGGGGCCCTGTGGGCTCTTACGCCAAACTTCGCTGACTGTTGTTCTCCTTTGACAGGCATTCATTAAATGGGATGATGACTGACAAATGAAACATCGCTTACGCCGTTTCTTGTGTTGTAGTAAAACATCTAAACGTTCTTTCAGTTGCTTTATCTTGGAGTTTAAAAAGTCCAACTCACCTTTCACATTCGATGACACTCTAGAACTTACAGCATTCACCTGCACCGTTGACTCTATAGTCAAAACTGCTTTCTTAGAGAGCAAATCATCACGAACCCACCTGATGGCGAAATCTCTGATAGATAGAAAAGTCACACTAGGGTCTTGATAAACTCGCTCTTGTGCTAATTTTCTACAAATCGTATCTTCCAGTTGTACGATGAACTGATCTTTCAAAATCGACGTATCAAATAACATCATGTTCCCTTTCTTCTGTGCGTTTTAATTATCACCTCATACGCCGCATGTATACGATGAGAAAAACAACGGATAGTCTCATTCTCACAGTGCTGTAGGAAAAAAAAACTCAGATGCTAATTCAACGACGCTTCGATGCTCCCCATACAGGTGTTGTATGATATCTAGCATATTGTTTGCATTCTCTATTTGACGTTAACTCCTGTCCGACACTCGCTGTGACGTGGTCGAGCACCACATCAATCTGGTCTGCCAGACACATTATTCTTTTCTAAACACGGCTCTCGCTTGTCGAACAAAATCGTCTGTAACAGTGGGGCCTGCTGTCCCATCAAAATGCATTATGTTTAAGCGACATAATGATATGCTTGTACCCTGTTCTGTCTAGCAAACAGGACCCTTACACTGCCGAGGCCACAGAACTATCTTCATGGTGCACGTAACTGCTCTCAAGAGTGCTCTCGTCCATCTTGCTTACGAGGTTTAACTGAATCTGCTCCACTTGGTCGGCTAGCTATTTCTAAATCCAAGATTCACACCTACTCAAGTAGGGAACTACTAGCCACCTTCTCTACCAATAACTGGGGGAAAAATACGTCAACTCAAGAACCAGAATAGCAACACATACCCAAAATCTGCGATAAAGGAGCCACACACGTGGGCGTTTTTCATAACCAATCTAAGACTAGGATAACCTGAACTAGCTAGACTAGATACAAAACAAATCATGGCCACCTAACCTGCCCGACAATGCCACTTGTATTAGAAGCAAAACGCCCTAAGTACCAAGATAAAAATTTAAAAAAAAAATACTTCGTTAGGCGGGGACTAGAAACAGAGATATTCTTATCCAGACACGAGATCTTCTGTGTAAAATCTAATCAGCCAATACACAAATAAACTAGGCACACTAACCACAAGTCCTAATCTGAACCAAAACAACTGGAACTATAATTACCAAATTCAACATCTGTTTATTTCACTGAACATAAGCTAAGTTCTTCCCAAATAATAATGCATTAAAATTCACAACGTGTTCGCAAATACCCTACAACAGATGGAACCTATCTCTGCCTACACACCTCAACCCACGTTGCGTTAAACCATTGAACGCAACGGGAAAATCAGAACTGCATGTTACTAGTTGTAATGTTGTGAATTCCCGGGGAAATCCCAGAGAGTTCCCGATGGGGAGGACAAGGTCAGAGGACCACTGATACAAGAGGAAAACGAGATAAGCGGGTCTCGAGTATCCCGTGGTGAGTGAATAAGAGATACAAGAAAAGCGTGAGACTGGAACGGAAGACGTGAACCCAGAGAGGGTAGTAAGACAGTTGGAGTTCGGTTGTGTGCGGTCGTATACGAGAGAACACCTGATGAGAATGGAGAATTTGTGACCACGTATAATTGTTCGAGAGCAGAGATGAATGTTTTTCTGATTGCCAGTTTCAACATGTACTAATACCAGGTACAATGCGTTAGTATGATATTGATGGGTGATCCGAGAGATACAAACGGTGCGAATCAGCGTGCGAGAGGGTTGGCCAGGTCATCAGAAATCAGCCATGCATAGCGACAATGAGGATGAAAGAATGCGCTGTCAGTGAGATGTTTGTATTAGCGAATAAAGGTCAATAACTGAACAATCGTCTTCTGGTGTGTCTTAGCAACTATATGTACGTCAATACATCAATGCGGCGTGTAGAAACAAACCCCTAGCAGAGCACATTGCAGGGATAGTGCTTAATCTCTGTCACTGAAACGATTATGTGACCTGGGAATTAAGCTTGGTGGAGCACGTCTCTACCATCTTCGTGGCCAAACAGGGGATACCACAACCAACGTCTCATTGGGAACAATCATTACAAGGACATGAAAGCGAAGGACTAAACACACATGGGAATGCCTAATGTTCAAAGACGTAGTTGATAAAAACATAACAAAACAAAATAAAACCTTGCTAGACAGATTTTCTTAGCATTCAAACACAGACAGTGATACAGTTACATCATCATCATCCTGTAGCAGGTGCTTTGCAGAACGTCGCTCTCATCACGGTTCTGCTCTAATTATAAACAGTGCAGGTTATTACAAAGCACGAGCCTCGTAGCGTTATAAATCCCTATAAGAATTGTACTCTTGAAACAAACGGGCAGTTCATCAACGTCAATCAATATGTATGTTCGGC